TATGTACAGACTTGAAATTTGGACAAGAGGTGTCATTTCTGATCCTGAATTGAATTTTCATATTAACTGGCCTAATTTTGATATTTTAGATATTTCATGACCCACTTTTTGTTTGTTTTTATGTACAGACTTCAAATTTTGACCATAGGTGAAGTATTTTTATGTTGAATTGAATTTTGATCAGCTGACCTACTTTTCATAATATTGACACATTTCGTTCTTAACAGACAGACTTTAAATTTAAAATAAACTATGGATATAATTTTTGATGCGGAATTGAATTTTGATATCAGCTGACCTATTTCTGATATTTATTTTTGATATCGCTTGATCTACAATGAAATGGGTCGGGAGAGCTATCTATGGACATCTTTGACCTCATGTTTTTGGTGTGTTTTTTAAAGAACTAAATAAACTGGATAGGTTTTAAGTAACGCAGCTTCCCATTATACACATAACAAATCTTTCAAGTGTGCACCATTTATGTCCTTACATTTTTTATTATTCATAATATTTTCACAAAATATTGTGTTCTGGCTATTGGCTGCATATCCAAAGTTTTTCCGTGCTCATTCTTTTCAATTGTAATGATACAGCTCGTCAAACATTGAACGAGCGAAATTCAAACAATGCATGAGAAAATGTTAGAAAGAGTGAAATAAAATTACACATGGTATACTCGGATACGATAGTGATCTACATATCACAAAAACCACCAAATGCGTACATTATCTGTAGAACAGCGTGAAATAGCCATAGTGGATTGGTCCATGCTTGTGTACACCAAACAGAGGTTGGTAACAAAATTTATTTATTTGGTTAAAGCAGCATGTCTCCAGATATATATATTTCTTCCAAAGTTTGAAAATGTATTAAAAAGCATAATATTGAGAAGTAACCAAAAGGAAGCAGTTAAGACATTATCAATGACACAAGCAACCCACGTAAATTACCAAAAACAGGTTACAATAGGCAAAAATAACCCTAAATGCGTTAGTAGTAGAAATATTGTAATAAATACTGAAAAATTAGTTGTAAATCGCACAAAACATGTAAATTATTACTTGAATCTTGAAACTTTTTTACCTTTTCTAAAATATATGTACATTTTTCTTAAGTTTGATCTTATTGACATACTTTTGCTCATCTGGAGGCATGCTGCTCTTTATAATTCTTTTAAATCTTTCGCATCGTAAAAGTCGAAAGTCATTAAAATTGAACTAATATCGCAAATGAACAAATAAATGCATATTTTATATTTAGTAATTACATGCCTGTATCTTTTGAAGGTTACGCAACACATGTATTTACAAGCAATACCATAAGAAAGTTTACTGTACCAGTGCCCAAGAAGGGTAACCTAAATGATGTCAATAATTACAGGGGTATCACCCTTACTAGTATATTTTCTAAACTTTTCTCAATATTGTTAGACATGAGATTACGTAAATGGGCCGAAAGTAATGAAATATTGAATGATTTCCAGTATGGTTTTAGGAAAGATAAAAGTACTACTGATTGTATTTTTGTTTTATGTTCAATTATTAATAAGATAATACGTCATGAAAAGAAAAAGGTATATGCATCATTTTTTGATTTCAAAAAATATTTTGATATGTTATACAGAAATGGAATATGGTTTAAATTGATTGAAGCTGGTGTATCATATAAAGTTGTAACAATGTTACGAAGTATGTATAATTGTGTGAAATCTTGGTAAGAGCAAATGGTTGCCTGACAGATAATTTTGCGAGTTATATGGGCTTAAAACAAGGGGAACCACTCTCACCATTGTTATTTATTTTCTTCGTAAATGATATGCATGAAAATGTACAAATAAATAATGTTAATACATTTTCATTAGATAATATACAAATATTTTTACTATTATTTGCGGACGATACAGTTTTATTCTCTAGTTCTAAGGAAGGATTGCAATGCCTCCTCAATAAACTTCATACATATTGTACTAAGTGGGTAATTGTGGTGAATGTAGAAAAACGGTTGCTATGGTTTTTAAATCTGGAAATAGAAATGAAAATGTAGAGGTATATTACAATAATGAGTTACTTAGCGTTGTTAAGTCATTCACCTATCTTGGTGTTAGATAATCGTCTAATGGGAATTTTTATCAAGCCCAAAAGGCGTTATCTAATCAAGCGCTTAAAGCACTATACTCTGTTAATTCTCTATTTGAATCAATTTCCCTTAATGTCACAGAAAAAAATCAAAATTTTGATAGCATGGTTTTACCGATTCTTATATATAGTTCAGAGGTATGGGGTTTTCATAAGGCACCAGACATCGAAAAGGTACATTTGAAATTTTTAAAACAAGTTCTTGGTGTACGTCAGCAAACTACAACATCAGCGGTTCTTGGTGAATTTGGACGATTTCCATTATTAGTTCTGCGAAAGTCAGAATTGTTAAGTACTTGTACAGAATCATGAAATCCCCAAACTCTCTTTTATACAAGTTGGTATTTTTAAAAGATTCAAATGGTAATTTGTTAAATAGCTGGTCAAAAAATGTTAAAAATATGGTGTCAGAGTTAGGTTTTTCATATCTATGGAATAATGATAATATTTCACATGTGCATGTTAATACTATTATACAAAGAATTTATGATCAGCAGCTACAGCAATGGTGTGCCGATCTTAATACTTTCTCAAAGTTAGAAAGTTATAATTTGTTTAAAATTGAATTTATCCAAGATAAATATTTAAGTTGTATTAATAATGTAAAACATCGTAAAATGCTATCAAGGTTTAGGTGCTCTTCGCACAAATTAGCTATTGAAGAGGGTAGACATAGAAATATTGAAAGAAACCAACGCCTCTGTACAAAATGCAATATGAAACAAATTGAAACTGAATATCACTTCTTATTAGTATGTCCATATTATAACGACTTAAGAAAAACATGTTTACCTAGATATTATTGCTCATGACCTTATTTAAATAAATTCATATCAATAATGAAATATACGGAAACAAAATGTAATTGTTAACTTAGCAAAAGTTGTTTATTCAGCAATGCAACTGAGAAATGAATCTACTTAATACATTTGTTTGAAATAATGTACGCTGATAAATAATTATGCATATGTATAATTTATCATGTATGTATCTTACTTTTCTGTACTTTGTACCGCCAAAATGTAACTTGGCTTACTTAAATTATTTGACTTGACTTGACTTGTAACAGACAGAGCAACTGACAGCGTTGATTACCTTCCTCGCCGACCACGCGAACGAATGAACAACAAACGCAAAATAAAATCTCATTGAACGATTCCATCTTCAGCAGAGAAGACGTACAGCTCTCATTACGGCCAGACATGCTCTGAACACACGGATGAAACATCTCTGCACAGGCCGTTAGAAAGCGCTTTCGATCGCTCGCCAATATGCTATATAGATAGCCCTTGTATTAATTCACTGGGCACCACACTATCAGGTTCTGTTTACAGATTTAAAGGGATTCTGCAAACAAAAAAATGACTGTCGTTCATGGGTGAACTGACAACAGGGACAGGGTTTAACGACATCTGCTAATCGAACGAGCTAAATATGGGGAGGGAAAGTAGGTAGGGCGGGTTTGTCCTTGCATCACAAATCTTAATTTGTGTTCATCAACCGCAATCGTACCACCGCTCTGTATTAACGCTAACTTCTCCACACTGAGGTAAAGCCCATGTTTAGAAACAACACATGGTTACGGTTGTTGCAAGATAGCGCACTAGCCGTCTCGACGAGAGCGACAACAGTCTTTGTTAACGCAAACAATATCAACGTGATGGAGATACTTCCAAAGTCTGCAAACCTAATTAAAATAGAAACGTATAGGATGAAGTGAATCGTCAAGGTCGAAGGATTTGTGCAGTGCCACAAGTATTGCCGAGTTATACGTGCAAAAAGTTTTAAATGGCAAATCTACCCCCAAAATTATCTTCAACGGTATGTAACATTGATGAGTAACGCTGCCATGCTATAATCAACTGTCAGGGTGGGCACACACGGTGTGAGAACATTATTTTGCAACATCGACTTTGGACATGCACTCACATGTTTTAGATATACGTCTTAAATTTGTATCTTGAATAAAATAACTAAATGAACAGTGATAATGTGTCTGTTTTCTTCATTAATTGAAAATCGGGAAAATATTGATATACCTATGACACCAATTGTACATGCACACTTACAAATTTTGTTAAGTATAGATTGTTTATTTTCTTATTCGAATAAGACATACATGTTTTAATCAAGAATTCCAGATTTATATAATTTTGTGTAATTAAGCGTTTAACCAAAGGATTAGCATAGGATATCTTTAAGTAGAATAGAAACATTTACACTAGATAAAATGATTGAATAGCTCAAGAATGGTATATAATAGGGAAAAAAACAGACAACTGGCTCAAGTTTACGAAATTCATAGAACGCACAGAAAAAGACCCCATCGTGTGCACCTTGTGTTCAAACATTATGGACGCATTTCATTGACTGAATTACATGCTTAGCCTAATCGAAAGCCTATTTGTCCAGATCAAAGTTGGAGAAAATAAGAAAATAACAGAATTGATTGTTCTTTGGGGCCAAGAACAATAATAAGCTTGTAATTCTCTTGTACGAGAAATGGGTCTGCTTAGTATCAACAAGCAATGGTTGCAATTTGAAAACATATGTGCTCTTGTTTTTTTTTTCTTCAATTATGAATACTCTTTACAATATTTATGTTGTCTTATGGATCTGTTGCTGGGTCGGGTGGGGGCTAAGTTCGTTGAACGCTGCCTTTCCTTGATGATCTTGTTTATCATATTAGACACAAATTAAAAAGTTCTATAAGCGGATTTTTGACAATTTTGTTTTCTTAGAAATGTTTGAATTAAAAATTACTAATTCAGCTTGAGCTTTTTATACTTAAAATCCCATTGGTAACAATGGGAAAATGTATTTTAATTTTGCTATGCGGATAAACACTATTATACCTTTCAGAATCTTGGGATAGATGTATTGAAAGAAAAAGTGAATCCGATGCAAACATATTACTAGAAAGGGAGATTTATCCGTTTAAAGGTGAACTGAACAAGGCATGTCACGTATTTGGAAGGGATTCAAAACTCATTTCACATATCTGCAATACGATTAGTCAACACATAAAGAAGCAATATAAGAATGTAATCGACGTACTTCCGTCTTACAAAGAAAAATTTGAATCTATTATTTTTCTAGTTATTGTAAAAAAGAAATCTACATTTTCCGTTTTCAAAGATTATGAATACTGTATTAGATGTGAAAATGATGTCAGTACTGAGGGTGACCTTGTTGCTAAATATGAAACAAAAGATGAAACAATGAGTCAGTTCGATAATGAGACTTTTGAAAAACTTAGAAAATGCATAAACGATAATGCTAAAGACATTCTCGAAAGACATAGTAACATTAATGTGATTTTGCCAAGCTTTGTTAAGTCCGTTGGATACGAGACAGGCCAACATAACATCAAACAAGTACCTTGTATAGCTTTATATGTAACAGTGAAAGGGTGTATACCTCTAAACGAGACACCTTTTGAAAAGAATGTCAATGGTTTCCCAACAGATGTTTTGGAGGGAAAATTCGAACCATTTATGAATGGACCAAACGAGTACCATGAACATCTTAAGATTGGTCTAGCAATACATGCTAACGTTTTAAGCACAAATGGTGTTTTAGGGGGTACTCTTGGGGGATTTATTGACCATTCAACGCATGGGTTATGTGGAATAACCTGTGCACACGTTGTTTATAGTCCTGCTGAGCTTATGGAAATGAAAGACAAAAGACAATGTTGTTTGAGAAAGAAGGTTTATCAGCCTATTGGTAAACGTTCGTCGGCGTTTGGTGAAGTTGTTCAAGCTTTTTACGACATAGGAGGTTCTTGTACATCTGGAATGGAAGTTGCACTCATAAGCATACAAAAAAGACAACCAAAAAGTGGAAGCTTTCCTGAGACATTTACAGATTTTGAAGCAGGTAAGAAGATTATGAAGATGAGTCATTATGATATGCGTAGATATAATAGCAAAATGCAGTTTTTGATATGCATGATGATTTTTTGGTTATGCGCTAAAGTTTCATTGTTATGCACTATGATGTGAGCAGTACCTCTTGGACTGTAGGGACTTAGAAAATGGAAGGTGCAGGTCTGGAATTGAGAATTTAAAATGAATTTAACTTTTTTATTTTATTATAATCCAATTTTCGAACTTCGATTGATGATTTACAAACATAGAACAAAATAACTATAGAATGAAATGACTACAAAGTGTACAATCATTTACATGATTATTAAACATGTACAAAAAAATCATGTTAACATTTAAAATAGTATACCAAAAATACCTTGAAATTACATTAATTAAAAGAACAGATAATTAACACATTAAAGGGGAATAACTATAGAATTAAATGAAACTACAAAGTACATTATTTTTACATGATTATTACAAAAGATTAATTAAGCATTTAAAATAGTGTACAAAAATTTATAAATAATACTTTATTAGTACCTGTTGACACTGACATATTAATTGATCTAAATTGAAACCATGGACAAATAAAATTGTAAACACAAATAGCTCCGTGCCTGTGGACAACAAGCAATAACCGACCTTTCTGGTTTACATAATGTGATTGAAAGAAATAAAAAGCACAAATGTCTATCTTTGAATGACCCGCCAAAAAGCTCAATGCAATTAAAAAGAAACACACAAAAAGGTTGTTATTCTTAAATTAAATTTTGTAATCTAATATTGTAAATTAAATTTATATATTTATTTATTTATTGCATTTTCGTCAGGGTTTGATGCAAGGAATCCATTATGTTTCAATTCTGGTGCAGTTTGTGAAACATCTGAAATAAAACGGAGGACTGAAGTGTACAAGTTTGGCATGATTTCCGGAATCACAAGAGGAAGCTTTGCCTTACAGGGCGCAGTAGTGCGTAAAAGTCAAATGCAAGGAGATTGTCATGGCTTTAGTTTTAACCTAATGAATCAACTGCTAGTTCTTCAGATAGGAGAGAAACCGTTTGCAGAACACGGAGATTCTGGCGCATTGGTATTGACTGAAGGAGGACAGGATTCAATTGCTATTGGTATTGTTGCAGGAGGTATGAATAGTCGCCGCGTGTTTGTCACGCCAATATGTGATATTCTAAGAGCTTTTGGTTGTACCGAATCAAAAATGCACCGATTCATACCGAAATGTACACAGCTTTCGCCGGACGACAATGGAGAAGACATGGAAAAATAAATATGTTAAATGCTTTTCTTTTTACTATAATTCTGATTTCGCCGTACCTTCTTTCCGACGGCCCAACGTAACTCAAACTTGGAAACATTATTAAGACCAGATGGTAAAGTTTGATAAATAAGGAGGTTGTGTTATATCTTTTTTGAGATATGTGTTTTAATATAAATTTATCTTGCATATTTTTGTTTTATGTCAATCTTAAACAATTAATGCAGACATACTTTAATGTATAATTTATCTATTAATCAATACTAACTTGACTTTCTGACCTAAGTTTCTTGTCTTATTTATTTCACTGTGTACTTGAATATTTTTATGTCTACTGTTGTGACATTTTACATTAATGTGTCAAGCTTAAATTATCTTTAAAATTGAATCTACAAATTAAAATGCAAATTTAATATATTCTGCTTAAAGGTAAATATAACAGAGGTGATTACAATACTTCTTGTATGGTCAAGGGAGTTTAGGCCCTTAGGAAATATTAGTCAGATATGCCATCATATATCCGTTGAATATGTTATTGTTTAATTTCATTTTTCTTTTCAAATGTGTCAATATCTTCCTTAATAAATAAATCTGTTTAACGTGCTTGTATTATAAACTGAACAGGGAATATTCTATCATGACTGTCTCAGAATAAAGTACTTTTGTTTTCAAATTTAAATCTTGAAACAGGTATGTTAAAATAATTTATCTTTCTGTCTTATATTTACCATTTTTTCATTAAAATAAATGTTTTTATTTAACTTAAACAGTTTCTCTCAAGTATTGGTTAATTTGCGTAATTTTCCATATTTTGCATATTAAATTAAGCATTGGATTTTTATTTAAACTTATTGTAATTTTAATAACAGTAACTGAGATCTTGTTATATTTTGTTTATTGTTGAAGTAAATTAAATTATAACATTATAATTATATAGCTGCATTCATCAAACGTCGTTTACCCTTGTTCATCATTTAATCAACATTTCATAACAATCGGATCTAAATTATCTAATTTATATAATCCAGTTCATAAATACAAAAATTGTATTCTTAGGTGTTATTTAAAATCTTATGGTATTAGGTGTGTAATGGACTATGTTATAAAAGTCATCTTAAACTTTATATTATTTAATTATGTCTTCGCCTTCTGTCTGTTTGTCCGTCCGTCCGTCAGGTCGTCCCCTCCCGTCTGATTTGTCCATTTGTCCATTCGTCCGCATTAAGCTGGTCCGGCATTCACAGGTCAAACTACTATTGGGATTTCCACCAAACTTTACAGAAGTGATCAGTACCATCCCTAGTTGTGCACATCACCAGCACGTTCCACTTTGACATTGGTAGCAGGGACCTGGATTATGTGCGCAATAAGTCTCACATTGGTGAACATTTGTGCCAAGTTACATTAAAATCCCCGATTAATGTAGAAGTTCAGCTCCGAACAAGCATTTTTCAATGACCTCTAAGTGTGAACTCAATCTTTAATCTAGAGACCTGATTCATGCATGTGACACTTCTTCTCATAATCGTGAACATGTCTATGAAGTTTCATTAGAATCCAACCATGCGTGTAGGAGGTTTGCTCTGGACAAAATATCTTTATTTTGATGAATGTTATTAAAATCCTTTTATGCATGTAAAAGTTTTGCTCCAGACAAGCGTTTTTCAATGACCTCTAAGTGTGACCTTGAGGTATGACATAGAGACCTAGTTCATGCGCATGACACTGCTTCTAATAGTGGTGAGCATTTGTGTGAAGTTTCATTGAAATCACTCAATCGCTCAAAATGTGACCTTGTCAGCAGACACCATATTTTTGCACGCGACACTCTGCCTTACAATGGTTAACATTTATGACAAGTAATATTAAAATCCCTCCATGTATGTAGAAGTTTTGCTCCGGACAAGCGATTTTCAATAACCTCTTAGTTTGACCTTGACCCTTAACCTAGAGAGCTGGTTCAAATGAGAGACATAGCTTTTCATAGTGGTAAACATTTGTATCAAGTTTCATTAAAATTCCTCCATGCGTGTAGGAGATATGCTCCGTGCATCAGGGAGGGGGAGGGACTATGATACGACCCGTTTTTGAAACCGTCGTATAAAAATCGATAATTTTCACTATTTTATGAACGGACTACAAATGTTAAAATAAGAATTAAAATAGGCGCGTCTAAAACTATACCGGCCATGAACCGTCGTTACTTGATGGACTTTATTTATTTTGTTAATTTACGTATTTCATAGCAGTGATAATGACAAGAGCTGTCAGAGGTAACAGCATGCTCGACTAACTAAAAATCAATTATGTTACAAATACATTTCTGTATCAGTATCATACGGAAGCGTCCTGCTGCCAATCCATTATGTTCTATAAAAATATAAAACCTAAAACGTAGGAGATATAAAAGCCTAATTAGGAGTTCCTTCGTAGGACTTCATAGCTCTTAGGTAAGAAGCATAATGAGGAGTTTTTAGTTCCTACGTAAGACTTTCTAAAATTAAACTCTGTACAAACTGGTACAATTCAAATTCAATCGTTTGCATACAGAATGCTTTGCAAATTTCAACATTCCGGACCAGTATATTGGCGATGGAACAAGACACTATACCCCACTCCCCCCCCCCCCAAAAAAAAATAAAACACAAGAAAACCAAGATTGCCCTATCGCTCCCCTGACCCACCGACCTCATACGAGTTATGTCTTAGACATGCATCCTGACCAAGTTTAATGACAATTGAGTAAACAAGAGCCACCGCCGGGCGGGGGCAACGCTCGTCTTTTTACTTTTTTTAAAAGCAAACAAAGAAATGTTTGAACAAATCTTAACGTTTCTTTTATATAAATGTAATCGGTGTGTCTTGTCACATTAGTTTTGTCAACGTATGAATCCTTTCAATATATATCTTTTTTCTTATAAATGGAACAACGTATATTGGAAAAAAATGCAATGAAGTCTTTTTAGGACTATCTCGATTCGTCAATTAAAGATCTATTTTTAATAACACAGATACTACTAAAAGCTCAGAAATACACCCAAAGGTAATAAATCTTTCTTCCACTATAGAATTATCAGAAAGTGAAGTAAAATTACTTAGCAAGGGGCTTAAATTTACACATAGAGAGGTCAAACTTTGTGTACAGGGACAATTTAGTCATCATTATTGATGGATTGTAACACAAATGATTAACTATCATGACTACAAGTGTGACACATGTAATTAAGGTTAATATTTGCAAGGTCAAGGAAACTAGAAATATCCAGATATTTTCCGAATCATAACTCTTCCTTGCCTAATTTTGGAGTTATTGCCCTTTGTTTATTTTTCTTTTTTTGAACTTTGGGACATTATGCTAAAATTATAAGAGATATCCACACGAAATTCCATTTGTAGATAGATCTCACTGAGTAAAAGTGCAGTATAAAAAAACATAACTCTGTTTCGCCCAATTTGTGAATTATCTCCCCTTTAAAAAACATCTTGTCCGGGAAATAACTCTAAAACTACAAGAGATATCAACATGAAATTTTGTAGGTACATAGATCTCAATGGGCAGATGTCCAGGACACAAGAACTTGAACTCCACCTTGCCAAATTTTGCAGTTATTGCCCTTTGTTCATTTTTACATTTTGAACTTTGTCCGGGACATAGCTCGGAAACCATTCTATAAGAGGTATCAACAAGAAACTTTGTAGGTTGATAGATCGCATTGATTAGAAGTGCAGTGCAAAGAACAGTTACTCTGCCTTGCCTAATTTCGGAATTATTGCACCAGAGACATAACTCTAAAACTTAAAGAGGTGTTCTTTCCTGTGTCCAAAACCTATTCGGGGAGCATCACCCGGCTCAAACCGGGCTCTTGTCTGAAACGTAACATATTTTATTTATTTTATTGACAGCAGCGATGAATATAGTGTACATATAAACATCATGATTATCCAATGTAAAGTGGCATTTCATGTGTTTAGTATTTTAAAAATTAAACTCTATATTTAAGTTACTATTGATTTATTTTTAGCTTTAACTAGAGTATGTTTTATATTATTTGTAAATAATCATTGTTCGGAGTGATGTCACTTTAAAGCTGCATGCCAAGGACTACGAGGGTTATTCAATAAGTTCTGATAATGACCTTATTGTAAGAAAACTATAAACTGTATTAAATGAAACAGCAGATTCACCACAAGCTTCACATAACTGTTCATGGATTTCCTTTTCCAGGTTTCTCTCTCAAAAACTTCAACTTTATACAAACACATTGTTCGTCCAGGCTTACCGCGCCCATGACGCTTGAGCTACGATCAAATGTTGTCATATATGTGACGTCATATATCGCACGGGAACGTTTTTACCTAAATTAGTAGCTTAATAATTGTGTGTCACTCATTCAAAGTTTCAACATTTTAAAAAGAAAGACAAAAACGTTATGGGGTCATTATTAGAACTTATTTAATGACCCTAGTAAATAGCTAGAATATTGTACAATTTTGAAATAAATTTGATAACAATGTTAGTAGACTTGAGTATTTTAATGACAATTATGTAACATAGTTCACTTCTGAACAACAGCATTCGCAATATCAAATTGCACATTTATTCTAAACTGTACATAATTTTTGAAATGGGTAGATATGATAAGAATAGCATGCTTTTCCAGCAGTGTGCCTTCAGATTCATGAAAATTTTGAAAATGGATTTTCAAGTGAACAAAGATTGTAATTTACACATTACAAACGGTGCTTTAATACAATCCATGTAAATTACCAAAAAGAAGTCAAATATGCTGAAATGCACCTTAATGTGTTGGTAATACAGGAGAAGTATGGTCGTGTTTTCAATAAAAGTGGCCATTATTAATCAAAACATGTAAATAATCAATTGAATCTTAACTTCTTTTGATTTATTAAAATTGTATATTTAAGCATGCATGTATCTGTCAGTTAAATGAATTCTTTTGTTTTTTATTATGCTGGAAAACATTAAAAGTGACACGCCTCCAGATGTTTATCTATCCCCATATTCCCCACCTTTATCTGGAGCGTAACACTAAATGTTTTTGAAATATATAATAATATTTGAAACATCATTGGTTGATATGTATGAACTATACTAGAACTTTGTGTTGCTGTCTGCTATGCACGTGGCTAATTGTATGTACTGCAATTAACATGTATTATCTCTCTCTTGTATTTGTATATATGCAAACTGAGAATATGTAAATGAAACTTGAAACTAATGTGTCTCAATGAGAATTCAGGAGGAGTTTCATTTCTACAAGAAAACTGTAGTTGTAAGATAACTGTATTTTGTCAAATTTGTTATAATAATTATACTGTAAGTGTTAGATTAAGTAAATATGTAAACAACATATTTCAATGACTGATGTCTTATAAAATACTGTTTCTAATATATCTTATGATAATAAAATTATGAAACAGAGTCGAATTTTGTATAATTACTGCCTGTACTTACTATGGTGGCCTTAACTTTAGAATACCTGCACTGAGCCCTGGGTCACCCTGGGTTTGAGATTTGCTGGTAGAAATTAATATTCTATGACATCAGTACTCGGGTTAGTCCAGTAAATATTATAGTATAAACAACATTGAGACAGAGTCTAATGTTTTCAAATGGCCTTGAAGTAAAGAAGTCTTCACCGTATCCAGTTTTCATGTGTTCTGACTGGGGGAAATTATCTTCAAGATAAAGAAAATACTATCTAAATCAATTGCAGGAGTAACAAAAAATCTATCTTTAATCATTGGTATTTAAACATTTGCATAATATATTGGTACACAAATTTGTGCAGCATAAAAAACACCAATCTGTATAATCATATACCAGTTTATGCATCATGCTAATTGGGCAATACACTAGACCTGATATAACATGATGTACACCTATCAGAATCTAACGATAATGAGTTAGATGTGATCTAAATGATACCTCTGTCTTGAGCAGATAATACTCCATGATTAAATAAAATGAAATAATCTTTATTCTTCTAAACAAAGGATTTTACTTTTTCATTTCATTAATTGATAATAATGCAGTAACTTAAAAAATATTGGGAAAAATCATTGAGGGAGACCAGAAACCATGAACATGACATGCTTGTATTAACAATCTGTATAATATAAATCAGGGCTGACATTGTTAGATTAGGTGTGTTTAAATAAATATATTCAGAGCCACAAGTTACAACTGCTTTGAAACATTACAATGAAGCTTTTAAGACGAGCATACAGACACTGAAAGACCATCAATAAAGAGCACGTGATATTCTCATGAATGGCAAAGACTGTATATGCTGTTTGCCAACAGGTTATGGGAAGTCTCTTGTGTACGAACGTTTACCATTTGTTGGCCAAGGTTGTCTTGTAATAGTTATTGTGGCCTTAAATACAATACTTGAACACCAACTGGAAACATTTTCAGGTTACTTTATTACTTTATTATTACTGTTCTGGAAAATTTTACACTCATACTTTGAAGACTGGAAAGTTCAGCTTCATATTTTGTCAGTCTGAAAAAATTGTAAACAATAAAAACAGTCCAGTGAGTATTTTCTTCTGATACATATATGTCAGTATATAGTAGTAAATGAGGCCTATTGAATAGGGAGAGGATTTTAGAAAGGATTATCAAAATTTGTATCAGCTACGCTCAATATTTGACTTTTTTAAGGACTTTGTGAAAATTACGTGATAGTCCAGCTCAAGACAATTTTGTGCTTGTTGTTGAAAATAGTCAAAGCTCTACTGCAAACGGTTGTAATCCCCATCTCCATACAACTATATCTTTGAGCCAATGCTGTGTAAGTTTTTAGAGGAATTATATCATTTTCCGATCATATTTTTGTATTGAAAAAAACATTTCAATGGCTTGGTTATGGATATGAGATGACAAGAAGGGTCCTAAGAGATAAATTATATGTTAACAACAGCAGAAGCCCTGAAAATGCTCTTGTTGTAATATACCATTCATCTGTGGAGGAAGAATCTGGAGAGGTTTACAAATCACACGTGTCATCAATGTGCGCCTCAATTATTTACATTTGCCTGACCCGAACACATATTCAGGAGCAGGTAATCTAGAGTATTATTTATTGATGCATACCTTGTCGCATAATACAATTAGTTGGACTACAAATAGGCTTAGTCCAACTAATTGTACTACGCAACGAGATATTGCGCTGTTTTGTAAGTTTGTTTGTTTGTTTGTTTGTTTGTTTGATTAGGTTTTACGTCACATCGACACAGTATTGGTCATATCGCGACGTCCCATCTTTACTGGTGGAGGAAGACCTCAGGTGCCCTTCCATGCATTATTTCAGGCACGAACGGTCACCTGAGTAGAACCACCGACGTTCCGTAAGCTAGCTGGATAGCTTCCTCACATGAAAGAATCCAAAGTCCCTGTCGGGATTCGAACCCACAGCGGTGAGGGGGCAAGTGGTTTGAAGTCAACGACCTTAACCACTCGGCCACGTAAGTGGGCAATATCTCGCCTCTACGAAAAAGCGAGATTAAGACCATGAACGATCTAGCTGGCACGTAGACTTATACATATTGACTACAAATAGGCTTAGTGACCCTTTGGACGCTTTGCAGTTCGAAAGTCCAGAATCGTGAACTTTGAATTTTGATAACAAATATAATTTACATATGACTTTTGCAGGTCAAATACGGACTTTCGTTGACTTGCTTGGTAACAGGATGACCGTTAAACTTGTTGGATTTTTTCTACTTGGAGTATTTTTTAAGCTATTATTTCAGATTGTCTTGTACTTTTACAACAAAATTTGCCGTGTTCGGAATATATGTGAAGACCGAGAACTGGAGTTTCTGAAAGTTGCAATTGTAACATTACCACAAAATTTAAAGTTTTCTGTTATATCTGAAAATTAACAGTAGATCTACAGATCTACAGGTCTATAGGTGCCTTCGGTTTTGTTCATCAGTACTTGCCTGTTACATACATCAGGGTATTTCAAATAGATATCTATTTGAAAGAACCTGCATACATGAAGATTTGACTCAAGGACATAACTGGACGATAATTATGGTATTGAAATTTAAAGATTCATGTACATGAAACTGATTTGTTATGTTTGACTCATTAGAAATACATTGTACATTATGTTAATAATACATTAACACGATGTAAGCTAGGTTGAAAATAATTGTAAATTTGAGATGTGTGTCACAAACTTGGCCACACTTTTCAATCATAAAAGCAAATGATGCTTGCTGTATTATAAATTCGTTATAAAGATTGCTGACAGGTTATATGGCCGTTTTGCAATATAACCCTCGCCTAGCGGCTCGAGTTATATTTACGAACAGCCGTTTATATAGGGCCATATAATTAACATGTCAACAATCTTTATAACTAATAATACATACGCGTGATACACGTACATTTTCTACTACATCATATAATATTAAATGGCAAGTAAAATAACTTTGAATAACAAATATTTTAACAAAAGAAAGTTAGTTACATTATTATGTCATACTGTAAAAATCATTATTATTCAATGATTTCTTCTTTTCGTGGATAGGTCAATCTACAAAATCCAACAAAATTTGAGTTTGTTAAGTGTACGATTATTGTGCATAGAATTATTTACTTAATGTGTACCTTCAAACTCTTCTTCTGTGCATATGTATACCTTCAAACTATTAGAGTGACCTTGACCTTGGATGAATGAACATGGGTCTTACACACAACAAGTCGTCATGATGTGGTACCAAGTTATTTCGAACCCTACAATGCATGACAAAGTTACAGTCCGGACACGAATGTGTATCTTTGAACTCTTCTTTAGAAAATGAGTACCTTCTAACTGTAAGAGTGATATTGGAGGTAGGGGCATGGGTCTTGAACACAACATGTCATCTTCATGTGGTAAACATATATGCAACGTAATTTAAAAATTCTTCCGAGCATAAAAAATTATAGTCCAGGCACAAATGGTGTACATTTGAACTCTACTTGTGAGAATGTGAAACCTTCAAATTGTAAATGTGACCTCGAATTTTGACTAACGGACATGGGTCTTTAATGAAACACGTACATCACTATGACGTATTTTACTTTTGTGCCAAGTAATTTTAAAATTCCTTCCATGCATGACAAAGCTACAGTTTGGACACAAATGTGTACTTTCAACCTCTTTAAGCGTAACCTTGACCTTTTGGTAGTGATATGGGCCTGATCCGCGACAAATTGTCTGGATGTGGTAGACACTTGTGTCAAGTTATTAAAAATCCTTCATTGAACAATAAAGTTATATATGTATATAGTCCGGACAGGAATGTGTACATCCTTCAAATTTTAGGTGTGACTTTGGAGGTAGGGACATGGGCCTTGGACCGGACACAAATGTGTGTGATAGCGTGAACCTTCAAAATGTAAGTGTGACCTTCACCTTTGAAGAAGGGATATGGTTCTTGGATGCAACACAACGTAGTGATGTTGTAGAAATTTGTGCAAAGTTATTTCAAAATCCCTCAATGCATAACAAAGTTACACTAGGACACGGTTGTTGTGTAAGTGGGGACGCACGGACAGACAGACGGACATGAGCCTTAGCCGCGACGTATCGTTTCAGATGTAGTAGATATTTGTGCCAAGGATTTTAAAATCCTTCTATGCATGACAAAGTTACAGTCCGGACTGACTGTGCACGTATCTATTATCTCTATTTGTGATATAATGTAAAACTTCAAAATGTTAGTGACCTTGACCTTTGATGACAGGAAAGGACATTATTCTTGGACGCAACACAACGTCTTGATGTGGTAGACATTTATGCCAAGTTATTTTAAATTCCTTCCCTCATGACAAAGTTATACAGTCCGGACACGAATATGTGTGTAACTGTCAACACTGTTATAATGTGAAACTTCGAAATGTTAGTAACCTTGACTTTTGAGGTATGGGCGCGACACATCGTCTTGATGTTGTCGACATTTACTCCAAGTTATCTTAAAATCCTGCTATGCATGACAAATGCACAGTCCGGACATGAATGTGTGTACCCATCAACAATGTTATAATGTGAAACTTCAAAATGTTAGTGGGACCTTGACCATGATTCTTGAACATGACACATATCGTCTTGATGTGGTCGACATTTACTCCAAGTTGTTTTAAAATCATTCGATGCATGACAAATATACAACCCGTACATGAATGTACGTGTGTACAGTACCTATTAACTCTAATTATGATGATTTGAAAGTTCAAAATGCTAATGTGACCTTAACCTTTGAGATAGTGTGCAACACATCGACTTGATGTGGTAGACATTTGTGCCAAGCTATTTCAAAGTCCCTCAGTGTATCACAAAGTTACAGTCCGGACACGAATGTAGCGGGGACAAACAGACAGACGGACCTAGATAATGTTGATGTTTACAGTTGAAGACTATATATAATTCACCAAGAACAGAGGACTGATCAATTGTGACTGATTTACTATAGAACAAAGGGTACGAAAATAAACTGGGCCGAGACCATAAAAAAATACTGTACATACGGATACTGTACGGCACTGTATGAGATATATCCAATCCATTGTTTACTTTCACTTTGAAATTTGACGACCGGCAAACGCAATGGTAAATATAAACTCGTTTTTCCTTTGTTTAAAAGCAAAATTATATTATTTATATTCTTTATAAAAATGTGTATCATTTTATTTCTATTTGAGTTACTAAAATCGCTTACAGAACAAAATTATATGCTGAAAATACCGTAAAATGAATGAAGGATTCGTACCCTTATATTTTCGATCTTGATTGTATGTTAAGTTTTTTAAATGTTGACTTAATTTCAGTCGGTTACATTCCATACCGATTTAGGTGATTTGAAGATAGAACTTTTCTGTGAACAAGTTCCCATAGCTAGTGAGGTATGTGTTCTTTTTTTTCTTCTTTTTTTCCTGGTTTTGTTTTCTGAGACTGCTTAATGACTACATGCATGGGGTGTTACAAAATTAAAAGATTGTACAGCCTCCCAAGCCCAAGGTACACAACTCACCCAATAGAATATAAAAAATGTTATTTTTAAACATAAAAAAACTCGATTGATTCAATTTCATCTATTTGTGAAAGAGTCTGGTGATTATCTTAATCAACATTAATTTTAGGAAATCAGAATAACTAGAATAAACAGTTATCCCTGTTTCTCATAATATCAGGGTTTCTCATATTATCAGGGTTTCTCGTCTTATCAGGCTTCTGGGTTTCTTGTATTATTGTAACATACTTAAAACAGATAAAATTGGCACTTTGTAATCCAATAACGTGTCTACAAATTGTAGGGCTGATTATACCATTAGTCAACATAAATGTGACATATGCAAGTAAAATTATTGATGTTTTATAAAAATATCAGTAAAATACCAGAAAAGTATTATAGTTCAGATATTTTTGTACATACAAAAACACAAATATTTTCTATGATGGGTCAGTATTCACAAATCAAGAAAAATGATTGTGCTTTTTTCACATATGTTGTTTCCTTTCTTCGTTATGTCTAAAACTTAAAGGGATACTTTTCTGTGTTCAGGGTCAAAAATCACTGTCTTGAAATGTTATGTAAATTCATCTATGCCAGTTAAGGCCAATACAAGAAAACAGGTTACATAAGGGTGATAGTGATAAGCTAACTTAATATTGCCATAATCCCACATGTTGTAATTTTGGCCCAATGAATTGTTACATGCATAAAAAGGAAAATCAAGTTTTTACTAAAAATACAGGATTTATGTTCATCAAGTGATAAGAAAAAACGGTTAGATAATTGATATAGAAAAAAGAAAATTTATACAAAATGTATGCATTTGATTTCATCAATATATCTCAATATTTCATTTATGAGTATAATATAAACTTAAATAGATAATTTATGATGTCTTGTTGGCAAAATATTACATTGGTAATGAGGATATAAGTCACTGATGCAGAAGAGAATATATTTTATTATTTTCAGAATTTTCTTGCATTATGTGCCAGTGACTACTATAACAACTGTAAATTCCACAGAAACATCAAAGGCTTCATGCTACAGACAGGAGATCCTACAGGTATTCTCACTGGTTTTTCTTACTTAATTGGAATTAAAGAGGCATTTTAAGCCTCTTGATTTTAAGAAAAATATAGCTATAATTTGCTTGTTTTGGAAGTAAAAAAATTTAAAAAACAGGGTAAGTTTGTTTTTTTGTTGTTTTTTTTTTGGGGGGGGGGAACTATGATTTTTAAAAGAATTTGATTGGAAAAAGGACTTTTTTATGGGCCTCTCTTTCTGAAAGTAAAATAAATTCTGTGTTAGCATGTAAGGTAATTGTTCATCATAACTGAATGTGTTTTATAGGTACAGGTAAAGGTGGTAACAGTATATGGGGACGTAAGTTTGAGGATGAGCTAAGAGAAGGTCTTAAGGTAAGGTATCTGTTTGATATGATATTTAAGCCGCGTCATGACAAAACCAACATAGTGCGTTTGCGACCAGCATGGATCAAGACCAGCCTGTGCGGATGATCAGGATCCATGCTGTTCGCTTTCAGTTTCTCTACTTGTAATAGAGTTGGTGAACCAACACCATGGATCCTGATCAGACTGTGCGGATGCACAGGCTGGTCTGGATCCATGCTGGTCCCATACACACTATGTTGGTTTTGTCATGACGCGTCTTATTTGTAGACATTGAAATATATTGAAATTGATCTTTAATAGATGTATTCTTATCTTTAGTTTTTATATCAAATCAAAACCAGTGAAAGAATATAGTTCTTATACTTTTATGCAAAACATGCTGGGAAGAAATTTTGTCAGTCACACAAGGATGGCTTATTATTTCTTATTATAGAGTTTTCAGATTGCCTTCAAATTGTATAACATTTTAATAGTGACTGATTTTGCTCATGCACTTATGAAATTTTTTCAGATTGTCTTCAAATTGTATAACATTAGTGACTGATTTTGCTCATGCACTTATGAAATAACATGTTACTGCTAGTAAAGTGCCTTAATTATGAGATCTTTTGGTGCTCTAGAAGTGTCAATCATCATTAATGGGCGGTCTTATCAAAAATGCCGACATGCGTACATGACATACTGCGAGGTAATTGTAGGCAGAGTTATTTAGGCAGGCAGTCATTGACAAATTTGCCAAGCATTAGTTTTGTCAACGTATGAATCCTTTCAATATATATCTTTTTTCTTATAAATGGAACAACGTATATTGGAAAAAAATGCAATGAAGTCTTTTTAGGACTATCTCGATTCGTCAATTAAAGATCTATTTTTAATAACACAGATACTACTAAAAGCTCAGAAATACACCCAAAGGTAATAAATCTTTCTTCCACTATAGAATTATCAGAAAGTGAAGTAAAATTACTTAGCAAGGGGCTTAAATTTACACATAGAGAGGTCAAACTTTGTGTACAGGGACAATTTAGTCATCATTATTGATGGATTGTAACACAAATGATTAACTATCATGACTACAAGTGTGACACATGTAATTAAGGTTAATATTTGCAAGGTCAAGGAAACTAGAAATATCCAGATATTTTCCGAATCATAACTCTTCCTTGCCTAATTTTGGAGTTATTGCCCTTTGTTTATTTTTCTTTTTTTGAACTTTGGGACATTATGCTAAAATTATAAGAGATATCCACACGAAATTCCATTTGTAGATAGATCTCACTGAGTAAAAGTGCAGTATAAAAAACATAACTCTGTTTCGCCCAATTTGTGAATTATCTCCCCTTTAAAAACATCTTGTCCGGGAAATAACTCTAAAACTACAAGAGATATCAACATGAAATTTTGTAGGTACATAGATCTCAATGGGCAGATGTCCAGGACACAAGAACTTGAACTCCACCTTGCCAAATTTTGCAGTTATTGCCCTTTGTTCATTTTTACATTTTGAACTTTGTCCGGGACATAGCTCGGAAACCATTCTATAAGAGGTATCAACAAGAAACTTTGTAGGTTGATAGATCGCATTGATTAGAAGTGCAGTGCAAAGAACAGTTACTCTGCCTTGCCTAATTTCGGAATTATTGCACCAGAGACATAACTCTAAAACTTAAAGAGGTGTTCTTTCCTGTGTCCAAAACCTATTCGGGGAGCATCACCCGGCTCAAACCGGGCTCTTGTCTGAAACGTAACATATTTTATTTATTTTATTGACAGCAGCGATGAATATAGTGTACATATAAACATCATGATTATCCAATGTAAAGTGGCATTTCATGTGTTTAGTATTTTAAAAATTTAAACTGTATATTTAAGATACCATTGACTTATTTTTAGCTAGTTTATGTTTTATCTTATCTGTAAATAATCATTATTGGGAGTGATGTCACTTTAAAGCTGCATGCCAAGGACTACGAGGGTTATTCAATAAGTTCTGATAATGACCTTATTGTAAGAAAACTATAAACTGTATTAAATGAAACAGCAGATTCACCACAAGCTTCACATAACTGTTCATGGATTTCCTTTTCCAGGTTTCTCTCTCAAAAACTTCAACTTTATACAAACACATTGTTCGTCCAGGCTTACCGCGCCCATGACGCTTGAGCTACGATCAAATGACGTCATATATGTGACGTCATATATCGCACGGGAACGTTTTTACCTAAATTAGTAGCTTAATAATTGTGTGTCACTCATTCAAAGTTTCAACATTTTAAAAAGAAAGACAAAAACGTTATGGGGTCATTATTAGAACTTATTTAATGACCCTAGTAAATAGCTAGAATATTGTACAATTTTGAAATAAATTTGATAACAATGTTAGTAGACTTGAGTATTTTAATGACAATTATGTAACATAGTTCACTTCTGAACAACAGCATTCGCAATATCAAATTGCACATTTATTCTAAACTGTACATAATTTTTGAAATGGGTAGATATGATAAGAATAGCATGCTTTTCCAGCAGTGTGCCTTCAGATTCATGAAAATTTTGAAAATGGATTTTCAAGTGAACAAAGATTGTAATTTACACATTACAAACGGTGCTTTAATACAATCCATGTAAATTACCAAAAAGAAGTCAAAATATGCTGAAATGCACCTTAATGTGTTGGTAATACAGGAGAAGTATGGTCGTGTTTTCAATAAAAGTGGCCATTATTAATCAAAACATGTAAATAATCAATTGAATCTTAACTTCTTTTGATTTATTAAAATTGTATATTTAAGCATGCATGTATCTGTCAGTTAAATGAATTCTTTTGTTTTTTATTATGCTGGAAAACATTAAAAGTGACACGCCTCCAGATGTTTATCTATCCCCATATTCCCCACCTTTATCTGGAGCGTAACACTAAATGTTTTTGAAATATATAATAATATTTGAAACATCATTGGTTGATATGTATGAACTATACTAGAACTTTGTGTTGCTCTCTGCTCTGCATATGGTTAATTATATGTACTGTTATTGACATGTATTATCTTTTGTATTAATGTATGTATGCAAACTGAGAATATGTAAATGAAACTTGAAACTAATGTGTCTCAATGAGAATTCAGGAGGAGTTTCATTTCTACAAGAAAACTGTAGTTGTAAGATAACTGTATTTTGTCAAATTTGTTATAATAATTATACTGTAAGTGTTAGATTAAGTAAATATGTAAACAACATATTTCAATGACTGATGTCTTATAAAATACTGTTTCTAATATATCTTATGATAATAAAATTATGAAACAGAGTCGAATTTTGTATAATTACTGCCTGTACTTACTATGGTGGCCTTAACTTTAGAATACCTGCACTGAGCCCTGGGTCACCCTGGGTTTGAGATTTGCTGGTAGAAATTAATATTCTATGACATCAGTACTCGGGTTAGTCCAGTAAATATTATAGTATAAACAACATTGAGACAGAGTCTAATGTTTTCAAATGGCCTTGAAGTAAAGAAGTCTTCACCGTATCCAGTTTTCATGTGTTCTGACTGGGGGAAATTATCTTCAAGATAAAGAAAATACTATCTAAATCAATTGCAGGAGTAACAAAAAATCTATCTTTAATCATTGGTATTTAAACATTTGCATAATATATTGGTACACAAATTTGTGCAGCATAAAAAACACCAATCTGTATAATCATATACCAGTTTATGCATCATGCTAATTGGGCAATACACTAGACCTGATATAACATGATGTACACCTATTCAGAATCTAACGATAATGAGTTAGATGTGATCTAAATGATACCTCTGTCTTGAGCAGATAATACTCCATGATTAAATAAAATGAAATAATCTTTATTCTTCTAAACAAAGGATTTTACTTTTTCATTTCATTAATTGATAATAATGCAGTAACTTAAAAAATATTGGGAAAAATCATTGAGGGAGACCAGAAACCATGAACATGACATGCTTGTATTAACAATCTGTATAATATAAATCAGGGCTGACATTGTTAGATTAGGTGTGTTTAAATAAATATATTCAGAGCCACAAGTTACAACTGCTTTGAAACATTACAATGAAGCTTTTAAGACGAGCATACAGACACTGAAAGACCATCAATAAAGAGCACGTGATATTCTCATGAATGGCAAAGACTGTATATGCTGTTTGCCAACAGGTTATGGGAAGTCTCTTGTGTACGAACGTTTACCATTTGTTGGCCAAGGTTGTCTTGTAATAGTTATTGTGGCCTTAAATACAATACTTGAACACCAACTGGAAACATTTTCAGGTTACTTTATTACTTTATTATTACTGTTCTGGAAAATTTTACACTCATACTTTGAAGACTGGAAAGTTCAGCTTCATATTTTGTCAGTCTGAAAAAATTGTAAACAATAAAACAGTCCAGTGAGTATTTTCTTCTGATACATATATGTCAGTATATAGTAGTAAATGAGGCCTATTGAATAGGGAGAGGATTTTAGAAAGGATTATCAAAATTTGTATCAGCTACGCTCAATATTTGACTTTTTTAAGGACTTTGTGAAAATTACGTGATAGTCCAGCTCAAGACAATTTTGTGCTTGTTGTTGAAAATAGTCAAAGCTCTACTGCAAACGGTTGTAATCCCCATCTCCATACAACTATATCTTTGAGCCAATGCTGTGTAAGTTTTTAGAGGAATTATATCATTTTCCGATCATATTTTTGTATTGAAAAAAACATTTCAATGGCTTGGTTATGGATATGAGATGACAAGAAGGGTCCTAAGAGATAAATTATATGTTAACAACAGCAGAAGCCCTGAAAATGCTCTTGTTGTAATATACCATTCATCTGTGGAGGAAGAATCTGGAGAGGTTTACAAATCACACGTGTCATCAATGTGCGCCTCAATTATTTACATTTGCCTGACCCGAACACATATTCAGGAGCAGGTAATCTAGAGTATTATTTATTGATGCATACCTTGTCGCATAATACAATTAGTTGGACTACAAATAGGCTTAGTCCAACTAATTGTACTACGCAACGAGATATTGCGCTGTTTTGTAAGTTTGTTTGTTTGTTTGTTTGTTTGTTTGATTAGGTTTTACGTCACATCGACACAGTATTGGTCATATCGCGACGTCCCATCTTTACTGGTGGAGGAAGACCTCAGGTGCCCTTCCATGCATTATTTCAGGCACGAACGGTCACCTGAGTAGAACCACCGACGTTCCGTAAGCTAGCTGGATAGCTTCCTCACATGAAAGAATCCAAAGTCCCTGTCGGGATTCGAACCCACAGCGGTGAGGGGGCAAGTGGTTTGAAGTCAACGACCTTAACCACTCGGCCACGTAAGTGGGCAATATCTCGCCTCTACGAAAAAGCGAGATTAAGACCATGAACGATCTAGCTGGCACGTAGACTTATACATATTGACTACAAATAGGCTTAGTGACCCTTTGGACGCTTTGCAGTTCGAAAGTCCAGAATCGTGAACTTTGAATTTTGATAACAAATATAATTTACATATGACTTTTGCAGGTCAAATACGGACTTTCGTTGACTTGCTTGGTAACAGGATGACCGTTAAACTTGTTGGATTTTTTCTACTTGGAGTATTTTTAAGCTATTATTTCAGATTGTCTTGTACTTTTACAACAAAATTTGCCGTGTTCGGAATATATGTGAAGACCGAGAACTGGAGTTTCTGAAAGTTGCAATTGTAACATTACCACAAAATTTAAAGTTTTCTGTTATATCTGAAAATTAACAGTAGATCTACAGATCTACAGGTCTATAGGTGCCTTCGGTTTTGTTCATCAGTACTTGCCTGTTACATACATCAGGGTATTTCAAATAGATATCTATTTGAAAGAACCTGCATACATGAAGATTTGACTCAAGGACATAACTGGACGATAATTATGGTATTGAAATTTAAAGATTCATGTACATGAAACTGATTTGTTATGTTTGACTCATTAGAAATACATTGTACATTATGTTAATAATACATTAACACGATGTAAGCTAGGTTGAAAATAATTGTAAATTTGAGATGTGTGTCACAAACTTGGCCACACTTTTCAATCATAAAAGCAAATGATGCTTGCTGTATTATAAATTCGTTATAAAGATTGCTGACAGGTTATATGGCCGTTTTGCAATATAACCCTCGCCTAGCGGCTCGAGTTATATTTACGAACAGCCGTTTATATAGGGCCATATAATTAACATGTCAACAATCTTTATAACTAATAATACATACGCGTGATACACGTACATTTTCTACTACATCATATAATATTAAATGGCAAGTAAAATAACTTTGAATAACAAATATTTTAACAAAAGAAAGTTAGTTACATTATTATGTCATACTGTAAAATCATTATTATTCAATGATTTCTTCTTTTCGTGGATAGGTCAATCTACAAAATCCAACAAAATTTGAGTTTGTTAAGTGTACGATTATTGTGCATAGAATTATTTACTTAATGTGTACCTTCAAACTCTTCTTCTGTGCATATGTATACCTTCAAACTATTAGAGTGACCTTGACCTTGGATGAATGAACATGGGTCTTACACACAACAAGTCGTCATGATGTGGTACCAAGTTATTTCGAACCCTACAATGCATGACAAAGTTACAGTCCGGACACGAATGTGTATCTTTGAACTCTTCTTTAGAAAATGAGTACCTTCTAACTGTAAGAGTGATATTGGAGGTAGGGGCATGGGTCTTGAACACAACATGTCATCTTCATGTGGTAAACATATATGCAACGTAATTTAAAAATTCTTCCGAGCATAAAAAATTATAGTCCAGGCACAAATGGTGTACATTTGAACTCTACTTGTGAGAATGTGAAACCTTCAAATTGTAAATGTGACCTCGAATTTTGACTAACGGACATGGGTCTTTAATGAAACACGTACATCACTATGACGTATTTTACTTTTGTGCCAAGTAATTTTAAAATTCCTTCCATGCATGACAAAGCTACAGTTTGGACACAAATGTGTACTTTCAACCTCTTTAAGCGTAACCTTGACCTTTTGGTAGTGATATGGGCCTGATCCGCGACAAATTGTCTGGATGTGGTAGACACTTGTGTCAAGTTATTAAAAATCCTTCATTGAACAATAAAGTTATATATGTATATAGTCCGGACAGGAATGTGTACATCCTTCAAATTTTAGGTGTGACTTTGGAGGTAGGGACATGGGCCTTGGACCGGACACAAATGTGTGTGATAGCGTGAACCTTCAAAATGTAAGTGTGACCTTCACCTTTGAAGAAGGGATATGGTTCTTGGATGCAACACAACGTAGTGATGTTGTAGAAATTTGTGCAAAGTTATTTCAAAATCCCTCAATGCATAACAAAGTTACACTAGGACACGGTTGTTGTGTAAGTGGGGACGCACGGACAGACAGACGGACATGAGCCTTAGCCGCGACGTATCGTTTCAGATGTAGTAGATATTTGTGCCAAGGATTTTAAAATCCTTCTATGCATGACAAAGTTACAGTCCGGACTGACTGTGCACGTATCTATTATCTCTATTTGTGATATAATGTAAAACTTCAAAATGTTAGTGACCTTGACCTTTGATGACAGGAAAGGACATTATTCTTGGACGCAACACAACGTCTTGATGTGGTAGACATTTATGCCAAGTTATTTTAAATTCCTTCCCTCATGACAAAGTTATACAGTCCGGACACGAATATGTGTGTAACTGTCAACACTGTTATAATGTGAAACTTCGAAATGTTAGTAACCTTGACTTTTGAGGTATGGGCGCGACACATCGTCTTGATGTTGTCGACATTTACTCCAAGTTATCTTAAAATCCTGCTATGCATGACAAATGCACAGTCCGGACATGAATGTGTGTACCCATCAACAATGTTATAATGTGAAACTTCAAAATGTTAGTGGGACCTTGACCATGATTCTTGAACATGACACATATCGTCTTGATGTGGTCGACATTTACTCCAAGTTGTTTTAAAATCATTCGATGCATGACAAATATACAACCCGTACATGAATGTACGTGTGTACAGTACCTATTAACTCTAATTATGATGATTTGAAAGTTCAAAATGCTAATGTGACCTTAACCTTTGAGATAGTGTGCAACACATCGACTTGATGTGGTAGACATTTGTGCCAAGCTATTTCAAAGTCCCTCAGTGTATCACAAAGTTACAGTCCGGACACGAATGTAGCGGGGACAAACAGACAGACGGACCTAGATAATGTTGATGTTTACAGTTGAAGACTATATATAATTCACCAAGAACAGAGGACTGATCAATTGTGACTGATTTACTATAGAACAAAGGGTACGAAAATAAACTGGGCCGAGACCATAAAAATACTGTACATACGGATACTGTACGGCACTGTATGAGATATATCCAATCCATTGTTTACTTTCACTTTGAAATTTGACGACCGGCAAACGCAATGGTAAATATAAACTCGTTTTTCCTTTGTTTAAAAGCAAAATTATATTATTTATATTCTTTATAAAAATGTGTATCATTTTATTTCTATTTGAGTTACTAAAATCGCTTACAGAACAAAATTATATGCTGAAAATACCGTAAAATGAATGAAGGATTCGTACCCTTATATTTTCGATCTTGATTGTATGTTAAGTTTTTTAAATGTTGACTTAATTTCAGTCGGTTACATTCCATACCGATTTAGGTGATTTGAAGATAGAACTTTTCTGTGAACAAGTTCCCATAGCTAGTGAGGTATGTGTTCTTTTTTTCTTCTTTTTTTCCTGGTTTTGTTTTCTGAGACTGCTTAATGACTACATGCATGGGGTGTTACAAAATTAAAAGATTGTACAGCCTCCCAAGCCCAAGGTACACAACTCACCCAATAGAATATAAAAAATGTTATTTTTAAACATAAAAAACTCGATTGATTCAATTTCATCTATTTGTGAAAGAGTCTGGTGATTATCTTAATCAACATTAATTTTAGGAAATCAGAATAACTAGAATAAACAGTTATCCCTGTTTCTCATAATATCAGGGTTTCTCATATTATCAGGGTTTCTCGTCTTATCAGGCTTCTGGGTTTCTTGTATTATTGTAACATACTTAAAACAGATAAAATTGGCACTTTGTAATCCAATAACGTGTCTACAAATTGTAGGGCTGATTATACCATTAGTCAACATAAATGTGACATATGCAAGTAAAATTATTGATGTTTTATAAAAATATCAGTAAAATACCAGAAAAGTATTATAGTTCAGATATTTTTGTACATACAAAAACACAAATATTTTCTATGATGGGTCAGTATTCACAAATCAAGAAAAATGATTGTGCTTTTTTCACATATGTTGTTTCCTTTCTTCGTTATGTCTAAAACTTAAAGGGATACTTTTCTGTGTTCAGGGTCAAAAATCACTGTCTTGAAATGTTATGTAAATTCATCTATGCCAGTTAAGGTCAATACAAGAAAACAGGTTACATAAGGGTGATAGTGATAAGCTAACTTAATATTGCCATAATCCCACATGTTGTAATTTTGGCCCAATGAATTGTTACATGCATAAAAAGGAAAATCAAGTTTTTACTAAAAATACAGGATTTATGTTCATCAAGTGATAAGAAAAAACGGTTAGATAATTGATATAGAAAAAAGAAAATTTATACAAAATGTATGCATTTGATTTCATCAATATATCTCAATATTTCATTTATGAGTATAATATAAACTTAAATAGATAATTTATGATGTCTTGTTGGCAAAATATTACATTGGTAATGAGGATATAAGTCACTGATGCAGAAGAGAATATATTTTATTATTTTCAGAATTTTCTTGCATTATGTGCCAGTGACTACTATAACAACTGTAAATTCCACAGAAACATCAAAGGCTTCATGCTACAGACAGGAGATCCTACAGGTATTCTCACTGGTTTTTCTTACTTAATTGGAATTAAAGAGGCATTTTAAGCCTCTTGATTTTAAGAAAAATATAGCTATAATTTGCTTGTTTTGGAAGTAAAAAAATTTAAAAAACAGGGTAAGTTTGTTTTTTTGTTGTTTTTTTTTTGGGGGGGGGGGGGGAACTATGATTTTTAAAAGAATTTGATTGGAAAAAGGACTTTTTTATGGGCCTCTCTTTCTGAAAGTAAAATAAATTCTGTGTTAGCATGTAAGGTAATTGTTCATCATAACTGAATGTGTTTTATAGGTACAGGTAAAGGTGGTAACAGTATATGGGGACGTAAGTTTGAGGATGAGCTAAGAGAAGGTCTTAAGGTAAGGTATCTGTTTGATATGATATTTAAGCCGCGTCATGACAAAACCAACATAGTGCGTTTGCGACCAGCATGGATCAAGACCAGCCTGTGCGGATGATCAGGATCCATGCTGTTCGCTTTCAGTTTCTCTACTTGTAAATAGAGTTGGTAACCAAACAGCATGGATCCTGATCAGACTGCAGGGATGCGCAGGCTGGTCTGGATCCATGCTGGTCCCATACACACTATGTTGGTTTTGTCATGACGCGGCTCATTAGTAGACATTGAAATATATTGAAATTGATCTTTAATAGATGTATTTCTATCTTTAGTTTTTATATCAAATCAAAACCAGTGAAAGAATATAGTTCTTATACTTTTATGCAAAACATGCTGGGAAGAAATTTTGTCAGTCACAACAAGGATGGCTTATTATTTCTTATTATAGAGTTTTCAGATTGCCTTCAAATTGTATAACATTTTAATAGTGACTGATTTTGCTCATGCACTTATGAAATTTTTTCAGATTGTCTTCAAATTGTATAACATTAGTGACTGATTTTGCTCATGCACTTATGAAATAACATGTTACTGCTAGTAAAGTGCCTTAATTATGAGATCTTTTGGTGCTCTAGAAGTGTCAATCATCATTAATGGGCGGTCTTATCAAAAATGCCGACATGCGTACATGACATACTGCGAGGTAATTGTAGGCAGAGTTATTTAGGCAGGCAGTCATTGACAAATTTGCCAAGCAAGCAGCAGGGGTAAAAACAATCATTTAATTGACAGAGAAAGGTCACACATATTATACATGTACCAATCATTGGATTAGTGTCAACAGTTCTTGTGTATTACTAAATTGTCAGGGGAAAATCGTTCTTTCAATTGGCAAGAATGATAAACTTACAAATTTAATTGCATAAAATTGGAATCGTTCTTTTTGCAAATAAGTTCCGGATTTCTTTTTTTTACCCCAAAATTTTTCTCCGGAACGACTGTGGGACAGCCAGTTAATTTTCTTGACAATCCTGGACATCCGGGACATTATGGCATGTATGCCCATTACCCAGAATCTCAGTTTTTATAGTTTTATCTGCAAGATCTGTTTGTAACTGCTGGATTAACATTTACAGTTAATGCTACACCAGTCTGCACATGCATGCTATCTGACAAGGTTTTATACTGTAGGTAGCTCAATTTTTGTATAGAAATCCATTAATCTTTAATGGACTGTTTTAAATTCAAAGCTAGACAACTGTTATGCAAATTCAGAAGGTTAAAGGTCAATATTGTCTTGTTATTGCAGCACAATGTAAGAGGAGTTGTATCAATGGCGAACAATGGGCCGGACACCAATGGTTCCCAGTTCTTCATAACATACAGTAAACAACCACATCTTGATATGAAATATACAGTTGTTGGAAAGTAAGGGCTATACATGTATTTATATAATAACTTTCAAATCATGTACCATTGTTTCTTTTTAGCTCACATGTCACAAAGTGACAGCGTGAGCTTTTGTGATCGCTTTTGTGATCGCTTTTCGTCCGGCGTCCGGCCGTAAACTTTTACTTTAAGTGACATCTCCTCATAAACCACTAAGCCAATTTCATCCAAACTTCACAGGAATGTTCCTTTGGTGGTCACCTTTAAAAATTGTTCAAAGAATTTAATTCCATGCAGAACTCTGGTTGCCATGGCAACCAAAAGAAAAAACTTTAAATATCTTCTTTTAAAAAACCCAAAGAGCTAGACCTTAGATATTTGGCATGAAACATCTTCTAGTGAGTGTCTACCAAGTTTGTTCAAATAAAAGCCCTGGGGTCAAAATTGGCCCGCCCCAGGGGGTCATTGATTTTCCATATATGCATATAGTAAAAACTTAAAAAAAATCTTCTTTTAAAGAACCCAAATAGCTAGAGCTAAGATATTTAGCATGAAACATCTTCTAATGGGTGTCAACCAAGTTTGTTCAAATAAAAGCCCTGGGGTCAAAATTGGCCCCGCCCCAGCGGGTCATTTTTTCCCTATATGCATATAGTAAAACTTAAAAAGTCTTCTTTTAAAGAACCAAAAGAGCTAGAGCTAAGATATTTAGCATGAAACATCTTCTAATGGATGTCTATCAAGTTTGTTCAAATAAAAGCCCTGGGGTCAAAATTGGCCCCGCCCCAGGGGGTCATTGGTTTTCCCTATATACATATAATAAAAACATTAAAAAATCTTCTTTTAAAGAACCAAAAGAGCTAGAGCTAAGATATTTAGCATGAAAGATCTTCTAATGGTTGTCTACCAAGTTTGTTCAAATAAAAGCCCTGGGGTCAAAGTTGGCCCCACCCCAGGGGGTCATTGATTTTCCATATAAACATATAGTAAAAACTTAAAAAAAACTTTGTTTAAAGAATCCAAATAGCTAGAGCTAAGATATTTGGCATGAAACATCTTCTAATGGGTGTCTACCAAGTTTGTTCAAATAAAAGCCATGGGGTCAAAATTTGCCCCGCCCCAGGGGGTCATTGATTTTCCCCATATGCATATAGTAAAAACTTAAAAATCTTCTTATAAAGAACCAAAAGAGCTAGACCTTAGATGTTTAGCATGAAACATCTTCTAATAGATGTCTACCAAGTTTGTTCAAATAAGAGCCCTTGGGTCAAAATTGGCCCTGCCCCGGAGGACATTGATTTTCCTTATACGAGTATATTCTTCTTTGAAAAAACCCGAATATCTAGAGTTTAGATATTAAGCATGAAACATTTTCTAGTAAGTGTCTACAAAGATTGTTTAAATAAAAGCCCTGGGGTCAAAACTGGCCCTGCCCCAGGTGTGTAATTGTTTTTAACTATATGTGTAAAGAAAAAACTTAAAAAAATCTTCTTTTAAAAATCCCAATGAGCTAGACCTTAGATGTTTAGCATGAAACATCTTCTAATGGTTGTCTACCAAGTTAGTTCAAATAAAAGCCCTGGGCTTTAAACTGGCCCTGCTCCGGGGGCCTATGTACAGGTGAGCGACTTCAGGGCCATCATGGCCCTCTTGTTTAACTCCCCATAGAAGGATGAAAATTGTTTCAAAAAATAAAGATTTTGTCAAGTTTACAAATATAAAAAGTGATTATAACTCATTATGTTATTACATTGAACAGAATTCACCTATTCTGATTCTGTATTGCCTTAGATATGACTGACGGATTTCTTAATTAAAAGCTTTCATAACTTTAAAAATCATTGTAGGTATAAACGTAATATTATTTTATGAAAAGCAAAACTTTTTATGACACTAAATTTGTAACAGACCAATGTTGTTTCAAACAGAATTGGATGACAAAGTAATAGAGTTCCAAACAGTGAAAAAGAGTCTGAAATAACTAAACAAGTTTAAAGTATGCAGACTGGACTGGCTCTATTCACAACTGCTTGTGTTGGTCTTTCTATTTAAGCCACTCAAGTGATGTTAATTAATGTTTGATTCTTTGATGTAAAGTTTTGTTACAATGTTATACCAATTAAATAATTCTTATTACTTTTTTAAGGGTTATAGATGGATTTGAAACGTTAGACGACTTTGAGAAACTTCAAGTAAATGAGAAACATCGTCCGGAGCGAGATATCTACATACGTTCAGTCACAATACATGCAAACCCAATAGCCGATAAAGACTACAAGACGCAGAGATGACACGCAAAATTGTGACTTTTAAAGCAATGCTAGAAAGTGTATCATGTTTAGCAAACTGTGGGGAATGATTTGGGATCTTGGCACGCCAAATTAAACATGTAAATGGACAATAATATGGTGCACTTGATAATGACTGGTGGTGAATCATTATTATATTGCATGTTTGTAACACCAATTCTAATTGGACGATTGTGATGTTTATATTATCAATATACTCTGCTGCTGTTAATTTATGAATTATCTTCAAGTTTGATAAGGCAGTATAATAAATTGGTTATTCAGAGTTGATTGATTATATGGCCATCTATAAATGTTAGTTTGCTATATAACTTTTGTTTAACACCTTAGATGATTATATGGTCATCTTTAACTGTGAGTTTGCTATATAACTTTTGTTAAACACCTTAGGTGATTATTTGGCCATCTTTAAATATTAGTTTGCTATATAACTTTTGTTTAACACCTTAGGTGATCATATGGCCATCTTTAAATATAAATTTGCTATATAACTTTTGTTTATCACCTTTGGTGATTATATGGCCATCTTTAAATATTAGTTTGCTATATAACTTTTGTTTATCACCTTTGGTGATTATATGGCCATCTTTAAATATTAGTTTGCTATATAACTTTTGTTTCTCAACATAGGTGATTATATGGCCATCTTTAACTGTTAGTTTGCTATATAACTTTGGTTAACACCTTAGGTGATTATGTGGCCATCTTTAAATGTTTGTTTGCTATATAACTTTTGTTATAACACCTTAGGTGATTATATGGCCATCTTAAATTATTAGTTTGGTAATATTTTTTGTTTAACACCTTAGGTTATATAAGCTCACAATAGTTAATGTTGAACTACATAACCTGTCGCTCTGCAACTAGTAAACAAGTGAATGGTGAATTTACTATGACATGCATACAAAACTTTTTGATATATATTGTAAATTCAGCAGTAACTTTAAGGCTTTGTGTATTTAATTAGCAATGAAATAAATGTATTATATCTGTGAAAGTTGACACTGTTAAAAAAGTTGATTACTATGCCAAATGTATCCAGTCATATCAAATGGGTTAAAAAAAGATTTTGATGATATGAACAGCTTACAGTGAATGTAAATTGATTAACAGAATCACTATACCATGTTTGCAAGGCTATATACAATAAGAACGGACCGCATATTGTGGTGTAAATTATATATCCTGTACCCACTTTGCATAATGTTTGTGCAACCTTTGATATACTTTTTGTATTATCATATTGGGTGATCTTTTAAACTAAATCTCAATTTTATTTACATGTAATCTGCTAGTGAAAAATTGATCAGATTTCAAGGTGTATTGAAGGATCATAACACGCGTTTTTATTTAAGTGTCAAATTTTACCAGATTGTTTTGCATTAATATTATTTTGATAAGATATAATATGACATGATATTTATAAATTGGAGAATTATTTTAAATAGTCGTTACATTACCAGAAATATAAGCCGCAATCTTCAATCCTTTAAATTTCCCAAAGTTCCTGTGAGCGCATCACAAAAATGTACAATGCTACCATGGACATGTATCTTCCTTGGGAATCTATATATTTTATCTTAACTTTTCATGTGTAAACTGGAAGTACTACTTTATACACTGTGAAATTATTAAATGCAATAAAATCAGAAATACAGCCTTGTTGTTTCTGAATTCTCCCGTTGTACTCCTTATTTTAAACTTCCCATAGTTTACACTTTGAATGCTGGGAAAATGTTTATGCTGTTCAAAGTGCCGTCTGCTTTTTGAATTTTATTATTTTTCTCAAAATTTAAAGCAAAATTTAGGTGGCTTAAACAAGGGGAAGAAGTACACCTGTATGATATCTTGCCAAGCTGTTATCAAGGGTACTAAAGTTTCGTTGTCAAACTTCTAAAATTTAGCCGACAATAATATACAGTCACTCATTCAAGACATCATTACTTACGAAGGGCTAACATTTCCTTTTAAGCATGGTGTATTTTGTAGGAAAGATGCAACATTAAAGCTGGTGGAAGTAGAAAGGGTTAAGGGAATTACATGTACATGTTGTATCATAAAATTGTAATTTATCTCTTACAAAACTCGGACGAAATATCATGTTGTTTTACCTTGCTGTATTTTCTGCTGATTATTTATATACTAACTAAATATAAAAGGGAAGAAAAGAAAAAGTTGATTCGCTTGGGGTTTGAACCCATGCCCTCCAGTTTCAATGCAGTCAACAGTAATTCTAGGCTTTCTAAATACTCATCAAAGCTTAGGTAGTGCATTAGGGGAGTCATACCTTAATTGATATACAAAATCTGGGGGGAGGTTAACATTGTATAAGTTTTATGGGTTCATGACCTCAAAAGTCTTATCAGCAGGATAGTATTGAAACTTTGAAGTTCATTTAAACATCCCTAAAGTTCACTTTTAAGAACTAACCAGTTTTAGTGTAGCATTCTAGGGAGGCTCTAACGCACAATGTCTGGTATCTGGGTTGACATATGTTAAATTTCGATAAAAACCTGAGCCTGGTACAAACTTGATGCATTAATATTGCAGTTAAAGGGGGTTGGGGGTGGGGGGCTGAGATTATACCTGTTCTTCATAATTTCCCATAATATCCAGCTACGATATTGGTAAATATGTTTAATAGAAAAAACAACACTTTCATAAATTTACACTTTAATCACATTATTATAACAAAACCTGTTGTTTTTTTTCTCCAAAGCATTATGCATATTTGCATAAGAAAACTACAGTCACAGCTATGTTAAAATAATGAGTAACATTTTGCTTTACATGATATATAAAGTTTGCAATACCCCAGATTAGTTCAAATCATATTTCCTGTTTCAGCGCCACATAACCTATATTGTGTTGGTGTGCTGTAAATCAAAACTAAACAAAAAAAGTTACTGATATAGACTTTCATGACATCAGTGGTTTAACAATTCATGATGTCACATGGTAAAATCACTTTTCAGCCAGTTGACATAACCAAACGGACATCATGCACATACTGGGTGTCGTTTTTGATTAAGAAATGTCCATCTTGAATATTGATATGTTTGGTTATAATGTAATAAACATCCGAAACACAGTGTTATAGAATAAAACGTTCACCCAAGACATGTCCACAGAGTTGAGTTTTTAATTGAGGTGAACATTGTATTGTCAAGGAAGTGAATATTTTGTTCTATAGCCTGCGGTGGGATATAATATTATAATAATAACCACTGCCACAACCACGAAAGTTTCATAAACATTTAGTTAAAAAAAATATATGGAAATCAACAACCATATTTAACTTCAATGATCTCCCGAGAAATGCCCAATGTGATCTTTATATACTTGAACCTTTAGGATGACTGTACATTATGTTACAATTTACAATATTCCATAAATATGGTATGAACCCATTACCTGTATATCTTGTAATGGATTTGCCCTGATTTATATTTGGGACAGTCCATTAGGATTTTCAGGGATTTCAATATCAACATACATAAACAGACCTTGCTGCTAACATTGTAAAGCCTGATCAGATTTTCAGGGTTTCCTGGCTCTATACTGATGGAAAATGCTAATCACTTTCATTGCCAGCTGATTAAGTGTTTAAGAAATGCAAAAAATTATTTTAATCCAAATAGAAGTTGATAATCCATGAGATTGTCTGCATGTTTTAAGCAAGAATTTATTTCAAGCCTACATTTTCCAAATATCTTTTTTATTGACTTACATGTAAACAATGCTTTCAAGGATGTCAAGGCAGACTAACAATTTAGTTACATTGAAAAAAACATACTTGTATGTCAAAGCTCAGGCATTTTAATTGACTTGTATGTATTAAAAAAATCCCAGGATGTCCAAGTTATCTGAAGGATAAAAGAATATTTGAGACGCGCCAGTCAAAACCAACATAATGGGTTTGCGACCAGCATGGATCCAGACCAGCCTGCACATCCCTGCAGGCTGGTCTGGATCCATGCTGGTCGCAAACCCATTATGTTGGTTTTGTCGTGACGCAGCTCATTTATTTATATTATAATCATTTATGTTGGTTTATAGCCTTAAGTGATAAGTAACAAAGATATATCGAACACTTCCTCTTTTACAATGAAAGAAAATTAAAACCGATATAGCCCCGGGCATGATTTTACTGGTGATTTTTTTTAATCAAATGATTTGATGATGTAATATTTGACATAACAAATGACATTTTAAATGATAAAAGGCAGTATTCAGTCACAAAATTATGAACATGTTATATTTATATTCATTTAAAATAAATATTTTTTTGCTGATTTGACAACATACATGTAGATGCAATCAATAACCCGATTTTTGCGACGGACGCGCCCTCAGGCGCGTTCAGAGCTAAGTCATCTACACACGGGATTTCGTCTGCTACAGTCGCGCAATGTGTCCTCAACCGATTAACAGCCCAAGAAATAGTACATGAAATTGATCCTTTAAAACTCCCATACTATGTCGGGATATCTTAAAATCTTCCATATTTAGCCTTTTCAATTTCAAATTAAGTTATCCAAGTTAAAATATGAGCGTTTATGATTGATTAAAACGTTGTAGTCCCGTAGTATTATTGCGCAATATGCAAATTACTGCCGAAACGATTTACCGCTGTCGAAAAAGTAGGACAGCAAATTATACAATAATAAAGGTGTAAGCTCTGAGTTCCAAGAAATTATTAGTAGGAAATAAATATTTTACATTATACAAAACATTATTATTAACAAATCAAAAGTTTTTCGTGACTCTAGAATAACTCGCGCATTAATAAAACAAGAACTATTTTCGTGACTCATACCGCGGGTTTAGCTGAATATTCAGCAGTTATTAATAAATTAGATTCAGTACAATGGTCAGTATAAATATCTATTTTTGAAAATTCATGTAACAAGAGAGTTTTTCAACACTTTACCACCATGTAGTCTTTCATGGTAAACTTTATTGAAGTAACTTATAATATCAGTTCTACTTCTGATTCTTGTGGTTTGTTTACATATTTTTCTAGGTCACGATATGAGTTTACCTTCGCTATTCTATAAATAGATTCTGCTTTACCTGTGCCGATTTTCGGACAGTAGGGAGTACACATTATACATGTTATAAACCAGCGGATACTTACTTTGTTCTTAGAAATTCTATACAATTGTAAGAAGCAAACAAGTTGAAAATGGAATTTAGTGTGAAAATGAAAAGGACAACTAAACACTGTAGTGCTTAAGTGACATTTAAATTAAAATAAAAACGATGTGCTCTGGCCTTTGTAAATAAAAAAAAAAACACTAAAAAATACACTATTAATTGCTGATGATTTTAACCAAAAATATTTTTAATGAGACGTACATATCCAAGAGAAATAAAAAATACAAATGACTTATATTTTATTGTCTGTATGTCCACTATGTTAAAACACGAAGCAATTCTAAATAACATTCTCACATGTATAATGTATTATGCTTGAAGTTTATTTGCATCGTTTTTTAGAAATATTTCGTTGACAGTTTTTTTTCTATTTACATATCATTTCTTGGAATAAATCGATAATGACACTGATTTACAAGTTTGACCAGAGTTTTTAGGCATAAATTTCATTCTGTATTTAAATGCTTGAAAAAAGAAAATCTGGATTATATCAGATTGGGACACAAAATGTATTGCTCTACAAATCTCGAACTTGTATGGAACAAATTTTCTCTGTTATATATTTTTTTTTTTTTTTTTTTTTTTTTTTTTTCTAAAAAAAACCCCTAAATGTCTCTCCGGTTGCATGTCCGTCGCATTCAGTGCTGCAGCACTTTGATTGTTTTATGGTAAATGTTTGTTTATGATAAAGGTAGAAATTATCTTAAGGTGAGATATTGCCAATATTTGCTAATTTCACTGGAAGAAATATAGAAATAAAAGAAACAGAAATATTCCTATTGTTTTTTGGTAAATTAAATCAATGAAAAACAGGGCTTGTAAATATAAGGAATAAAGCCAAATTTTTAACCTTTAACCATTAGCTTGATTTCTAAATGAACTTGACCATCTACTATTTTTTGGAACTGCCCATTATCATTCACTCAAGAAATCACGATGAATATTAATAAGATTTGTCCTGTTTAATGTTAACTTTACAGTGAATTTTCATCTTAAAGGAATTAATTACTAATATTAAGTTATCTTAATTGAACAGTTAAAATCTGTAGTCATTAGGGAACTGTACAGTGTAGCCTAAATTTATACTTTTGCCACAATGCCAAGTTTTTATAAGTGATAGTACACATATAATTATGAAAGAAATCTGTATAATAATGACAAATAAACTCTGATTATATAATGTGTTAACAATAAAATTAAAAATTAACATATAAAATAGCAATTCTATTTTTCAATAAAACAAAAATAACATTTTATATCATAAGGAACTTTTTTTTGGAAAAGGATTAGGTTATCATAAAGAACTGTTGTTTTTTTCTGGAAAAGGAAATACTGTTGCCATTGACAGTTTATTTTGGGGGCATTTTCATAATTTCCAGACACAAATTAGCCAAAACTATCATTTTTTTCAAATATACATCAACTATTGATCAACAGAAAAATATCAAAGAAACAACCATATGGTTTCTTGTGATGACAATTTATTATATACATATGGATATGGCATCCAATACAGTGTGAAATGTCATGAAAGTTGTCAGGCAGTACAAATCTATTTCTATGGCAGTAGTTGAACCCTGACATACTTTTCATAGACAACTAGTATCATTCTATATAAATAAGTCATGGCATATAAATGATCACACGTTTTAAGGTTAAAAATATGGCTTGGTAATTTTGCACAAGAGCTTTTAAAACAGAGTCCAAGAGCTAAAAATACCTAGACCTGAAGAATAAATACAGAAAGACTTTTAAACAAAACATTCAGCTGATACTGATGTCTCTGATCATTCCAGCACAATGGAAACATATGTCATGATAAGATGTACAAAATGGGACCATAGAATTTGATGGATGGACGATTGATGAAAATGTGGGCACAGTCTAAAACATGGCAGCTCATTTTGTAGATAACCAGTCCAGTAACTGAGGTGTGTAGTAGGAAATAAGAATATCAGCACCTGTAAACAAAACAAGTTATGATTATATTTTATTTGATAATGCTCAATGAGTCATACTAAAATTCAACAGTTAGATATAATTCATATCACATTGTATGAAACCTAGTGATATATATAATTTCTGTCCCCAATATATTCATTGAATGACGTAGCACCACAGAAAAACATTATGGATAAAGATCTTCATGACATAATTGCAAAATTATAAATCAATGTCTATACATTTCAAAGTTTACATATTAAAACTTTCTCAAATTCTTAAATGATGTCAAGATTTGGTTTTAGAGATTTTTCATTTTGGAAACAAAAGCAAGGAATATCAAATAAGTATTAACAAACTTTTGAGATTTTAAATTAATATCAAGACAAAGCGTGTATAAATAGAAAGAGATAACTATAATTCATTCGAGAAAATTGTGTTACAAGGTCTTGGATCAAATAATACGGTCAATTAGTGTCCATATTTGTCCTCCAAAGAAAATGCTGTATTTCTAAAAAATCCTGTACGTTAATTTTCATAGAAGAACAAAAGTTGATACTATATCAAATTCTGTTCATAGCCAACTTCTATTTTTCATAGTACTTCATAGAACCGCAGAGAAGTGATAATGTGAATAATAATGAGGCAAAATAAAGCTTAACACTAAGTATGTTAGTACATATCTGTAGCTGTTCTACAGAAATTAGAAACATTCTCCTGTCGCTATTGCTCCATTCTTAAAATATTCACAAATGACTGCCATAAAGATAAGCACAAACAATACATACCTGCACGCCTCATACATGATAGAACTTCTAGAAGTGTGGTTTGTAGGTTAAATGCCCCAGCTTTAGCACCGTGATATAACATAGCATATTCCCCGGACACTTGGTAAATGGCCATTGGATGTGTGGGATACTGTAATAAACCAAAGTAAAGATTATAACACTATTATGATATGATTTATGTTATTTTTTTTTAACTTGGTTTTTACGCCACACCAACACAGTATAGGTCATTTGGCAACGTTCCAGCTTTACTGGTGGAAGAAGACCTCAGGTGCCCCTCCAGGCATTTTTCAGGCACAAATGGGCACCTGAGTAGAACCACAGACGTTCTGTAAGCTAGCTGGATAGCTTCCTCACATGAAAGAATCCAAAGTCCCTGTTGGGATTCGAACCCACAGCGGTGAGGGGCAGGTGGTTTGATTTATGTTATAAACCAGAGTAAAAATTATAACACTATTATGATATGATACATATTACCTCTAACATTTCAGAAATAAATATCTGGTTCTTGTTTATTTCAAAATCTAAATTCATTTTGAATAGGTCCTATTTCAGAACACAGAAATTCAGTTCGATTAATTTTAACTTTATTGAGATGTGAAGTACATAATCTTATGACAAAGTTTTAATGTATACGAAATTAGATGTTATATAGAATTAATAATTCTTATTGACTTGTGTTTAATTTTTATATAAAATTTTTCAATCACGTGTTTGGATACCTTTGTTTTTATGGATTTTACAATGTCTAAGTATGCAAGGCCGGGTTTAACCATCAGAATATCAGCACCTTCTTGTACATCTCTGTCCTGTAAAAATATTACACAGAAATTTTTATATGTGTGATATTGATGAAGACCATTATTAATTGAAACATAAATCTCGAAAAATATTCCCAAACCTGTCATGTCAAAAAAACCCTTTAAATCATGTTCAATTTGTAAAATACATAGTGAATGTTTTTACTGCATTTTTCAATATGTGATATTCTTGTTATTTTAATTGTTACTTTTATAAAGCAAAACTGTTCATTTAGTTATATCCGTACTATTTCAGGCAGTTCCTAAACTGTGTTTCAAATTTAAGTAAAAATCTAGAGGTATGCTGCCCAAACTGACATGGAAATAAAACAATGCCTTTTCATATAATGCTTGATAATACTTTTGCTATGTTGCTTTTCATCTGATAACGAGGTTTGTATAAACAATATACATCACTGTTGTCAGTTTTTGAACTATTTCCTGTTTTTTTCGGAAACAAAGGAAGTTTTTTGTATTATTATTTATTTTTGTTATGAATATTTTTGACAAGCTATAAGACCGTATATATATATTTTTTTTGTTATGCGTTTATTTAAGGTAGCCGCTGGAAAGCCCATATGGGCGACCGTACACTCAAGTCGGGCCATCCTAGAGTGTCCTGCCGAGATTTTTTCGTCGATTTTTTTCCAGCTTAATTGGTGGAGGAAGACCCCAGATGCCTCTCCTGCCATTATTTCAGGCACGAGCAGGCACCTGGGTAGAACCACCGACCTTCCGTAAGCCAGCTGGATGGCTTCATCACATGAAAGATTTCGACCCAAGTGAGGATCGAACCTGCAGCGGTGAGGGACCTGTGGTCTCAAGTCAGCGACCTTAACCACTCGGCCACGGAGGCCCCATAGACCGTATATAAATGGTTGATTGCAATATATGTACAAACATCTGTTTATATGAAGCCATACAACCTGTCGAAAAATTTTATATCTAATAATTTAAACAGACAAGCCACATGTATATACAATAAATGGTCACCTTGGTGCAGTAAGAGGTTAACTCCTATTAGGTTAACCCATTACTACACGACAGTGATGCTCATTATTATAACATAAATTTATATACCACAGCTCTCTCTGCCAGACCACTAGATCCAGGTGGGAGCTGATAACATCTCCTGTCTCCGAAACTTGGGGCCGACTTTGCAGCATCTCTGTAAATTAAACAAAATTGTAACACTCAAATAATGATAGGCTTAAAGAGCAAAAGTCTACCCTTATATAAGGGCATCAATGTTGTCTTATTCATCAGGGATCTTATTAAAGAGAGCAATATGCCTTAGAAATCAATGTCAAACAAGTGTTTAACAGTATTCAAATAATGGATACAGGGCATGTAAGTTGTTCTACAACTGAAGAACAAAGTGCTGAGCGTGAGTAATGTGTCATAAAGGTTACTAAGCAAAAGGTAGCAAAATGTAAACAAAGTAGTATCTTGACTTCCATACAAAATACTAATTCACTATGATTATATCAATGGTAAAAGAGCTATACATGCAAAAGATAGTCCATGTATATATGGCAAATGAGCATTACTTTGTAAACTGTGACAAGATAGTACCAAAAAGTAAGAATAAAATTGGTAGCATTTCTGAGGCATAATGGACCTGTTAAACAAATATTGTTAAAAAAAAAAAACTGCAAAAAGCTAAAACATACTATATGTCACAAAATATATGAGCTGCATCACAACAAAACCAACATACAGGGATTGCCACCAGCATGGATCCAGACCTGCCTGCGCCTCCGCGTAGTCTGATCAGGATCCATGCTGTTCGCTATCAGTTTCTCTACTTGTAATAGGGTTTGTAAGCAAACAGCATGGATCCTGATCAGAGTGCGCGGAGGCAGTAGCAAAGTCTGTTTCATGGAACTATTAATTGAAAGTATTTTATAGCAGTAATCTTTCATACTTGCAGAAGTTGCTAAGTGAATAAAAGGTGAATAATCAATTTTAAACTTGTGGGTGGAGTGGACACCTAGGTAGGACCATCTCCACATAAAAAATTTTATACCATGGCGTGATTTAAATTTATGATGGAGAAAGGAAAATGAGTTAATCAGATTAACCACTGAATTACAGAACTGAAAAGCAAAATTGAGGTAATTAAATTGAAATTATACCTGAAAGGTCCGTAAAAGCTGGATGCGAACTTGGCACTGTAGCTCATCACCGATACCTTACTACCATAACCAGTCTCAGCCAGGGCTTTCTTGATGGCACCAATTCTTCCATCCATCATATCTGATGGTGCGATAATCTGACATCCTAAAAGTATTAAAATAGTCGTATATCAATGATCCAGAATTTAAACATAATTGAAGAAGTGAACTTTGTTTTTCAATGTGTCATCAGATTATATTACAGTTGATGATGACTAAGACTTTTAAATGCATTTAATGGTATGTGTTATCTAAGAACAGCTTCATGGTTTCAATAGCCATTTGGTCTGAATTTAATATTCACTCTTGAATAAGTCAGAATGATGGGCTTTCAGCAAGGGTCAGGGTTTTAAATGTTTAAGGTTGTTTAAAGAGTCTTTTAGCTCTACTCTGGACATACATATCCAGGTTATGTAAAGAAGTGAGGAATTCACTCAAGGGTCAGACCGTCAGAGACTCTCTGTATATCAGCATTATATTTTTCATAAAAATACATATAATTCATACAATATCATAAAAATATCACAAACATATTATTTCAAGAAAAGAAAGCTTAATATTGGAAATACATTTCTACCTTAAACAAGTAAAGGATAACTGACCCTGCATTAGAGAACTTTGAATGTTCATGAATTTTAACCGAGTTACACAATGTATTTAAAACTGAAGAAAATATGTTTTATAAAAAAAAAGGTTTTACCTGCTTTTGCGTAACTGACACTGATTTCAGCGAGTCTGGCTATACTAGCCTCATTATTTAATGTGCCATCCTCGTACAATATACCTGTGATGATAACACAGAGGAAATAAACAGACATGAAAAAGTATACACTCTTAATATGCCAATACAAAAGTGGGTCTTGTGTTTTATATTGCAACAGATTGCAAGAAAAAATACTAAATGAAAAGTCATAAATAGTAATAGGGTATATAAAATAAATAATAATCAATCTGGTTTCAAACGTTTTTAACATATTAGAAAGAATGCATCAAAACCAATTTTGTATCCCAATTAACAATGAACAGATTTTTTATAAATATCTGAAAAAAAGTGATCCCTCAGAGCATTAAAAAACAGTAAATTTACATGAAAATTTCATGTTTTATCTCTGATTGCTAGTTGCCGAGTGACTTCTTCTAAAGTATCTACTCACCACAATGGCCGTGACACGTGTATGGACACAGACACACATCTGCTGCTATAAGTAGATCCGGGAACCACTGTCGTAACATCTGTATTGCCATCATTGTTGGTGTGTTTGGTAGATCAGCCGCCGTTCCATTATTATCCTGAAATAAAATCATAAAAAAACGTTAACTACCACATGATATAGCATATATACTTGTAATGGAATAATTACACGTATCTTTTTTAATTTGGAGCAGTATATTAAAATTCTTAGATAGATTTTGTATGTTTAACTTTTATTACAAGACATGCATAATACTAGTAACTTTTCAACTCAGATTATGGCTTTTGTGCCAGTATTCATCCTCTTTTGAGTTGTGATTCTACAAGTTAAGTATTTATAAATTAAATCTTTATCAATGAATAATGATATTAAACTGCAAATAAAACAGTAGTGTTATTTTTTAATACATTTTGTGGGGTAATTTAAGGTCTATCTAGTCCATTAATAGGTTGGCAAGTTATCATGTCACATTTTATGAATAAACATTTAACTGTGAAGAAAATTCCTGGAGTGTACTCATTTCACTAAAGGCAACTTTAAAATATGCTTTTAAGAGGCAAAATATTAAAATATTATAATTAGAAAGACTGATCAAACGTGTAAGATATTACCTTTTGGATTTTCTCTGGCACACCAAATATAAGTACAGTTTTCAAGCCTTTCTCCACCAGAGGCTTTAAAGCTTCCCTTAGTTTGTTTATACCATAACGTGCCTGGCCCGGCATGCTGGCAATCTCCTGTATAGCGTCGTCATCATCTCTAGAAGAAAAGAAAAAAGAAAATTAATGTGTGTACTTTAACTATTATTCCTTTATAACATTCCCTAGGCTTTATATATCCCTGACACCAAAATATTGCAAATTTTAATCTAAAAGTGAAAGTAAAACAAAACTTAGCTTGAGAATGGTATTAAGTAGATCAATATCACTAACCTTGCTAAATAACTTTACCCTTACCACTCTTTATATCAATCTAAACTGTTACCACACTAAATATCTTTACCCTTACCATACTAATTATCTTTACCTTTACCATACTTATTATCTTTACCTTTACCACACTAAATATCTTTACCCTTACCACACTAAATATATTTACCCTTACCACACTAAATATCTTAACCCTTACCACACTAAATATATTTACCCTTACCACACTAAATATCTTTACCCTTGCCACTATAAATACCTTTACCCTTACCACACTAAATATCTTTACCCTTTCCACTATAAATATATTTACGCTTACCACAATAAATAACTTTACCCTTACCACTATAAATATCTTTACCCTTGCAATACTAAATATCTTTACACTTACCATACTAAATATCTTTACCCTCACCACAATGAATATCTTTACCCTCACCACAATAAATATCTTTACCCTTACCACACTTAATATCTTTACCCTTACCACACTTAATATCTTTACCCTTACCACAATAAATATCTTTACCCTTACCACACTTAATATCTTTACCCTTACCACACTAAATATCTTTACCCTCACCACAATAAATATCTTTACCCTTACCACACTTAATATCTTTACCCTTACCACAATAAATATCTTTACCCTTACCACACTTAATATCTTTACCCTTACCACACTAAATATCTTTACCCTCACCACAATAAATATCTTTACCCTCACCACAATAAATATCTTTATCCTTACCACACTAATTATCTTTACCCTTACCACACTAAATATCTTTACCCTTACCACATTTAATATATTTTACCCTTACCACACTAAATGATTAAAGATCTTAACACTTGCTACTCTCAATATCTTTACCATAAACAACAGTGAATGATCTTAAATGGACTTGTCATTTTACCGTAACCATTCATCTTTTTTAGAGCCTGGGTTAAGACAGCAATTTAGCTATGGGTTAAGAATTATTAACTATTTTAAGAAAGAGGGAGACAATTATTGATGGAGTTTTAAATTTCTGAATTCTTTGAATATGGGAATTAACAACACTTGAATTTGTGAGGTATTGAAATGAATTGAATTAGTGAATATAAAATCATCAAGAATAAATTATTTTGCTGTTAACCCTGCTTCAATTTATAATTATTGTTTCTGCTTTGTCAGTTTTGCTTGTCAAACACATTTTAAATGAAATGAAGCAAATGCAAATTAATATAATTTACCTCTCTATTTATGATAATCTCACAGTGCTATATAGCTGACTTGCTCACAGATGTGACCAGACTCCCTGATCCATACACTACGTGATATCTACTATATACATGTATTTTTCTAATTAATGCACACTGGAGCCTTTCATTTCCAAGTGGGGGACAGGGGAGTCGGAGGTTAAATTACAGCAGGACTTCTCTTAATGGAAGGCTTGTGACTTCCAAAGTCTAATACTTTTTCTCTCTTTTACCTAAATAACATGAATTTTTGCAGTCTCTGAATTCCAAATTTTGAAACTTAATTGAGGCCCTGTTACAGTACAATTTTTTTCAAATATCATCAAAATATAAAGGATGATTATTGTTTTTGCATCATTTTCTAATTAATTATAAATTCTTAAAGCATGTGCTGGGTTATAATGTGTAAAAATCTTCTTGGAATTATAGGTAACAACTATAATGTCTTGCTTAACTCAGTTATCAGTAACAGTGTTTGGTTTTTTTCTAAGTTTAAGGGATAAGATCCTTCAAGTTCCTGTGAAAAAAATTCTGCAGGTGTCACAACCAAGGCTCAATTAATCACTTTTAATAAACAAATTCTCAGTCAAAGTTTACTATAGTTAGTACTAGTTAGTACTAACAGAAAATAGTAATTCAAAGTACACTAAAAATTGCATGACTCATGATGAATGAAGACATGTGTTGTTTTTAGTTTTATATCATCAGACCCTTAACATATACACAGAACATGATTCATGTCTTAGGATTGAAAAGTACCTGTCAAGTGCTCAAAATTAGGAAAATATACATGTGGTCATTCTTTTTGTTCTAAGTAACAGTGCCCTTAAAGTACATGTACTTAAAAACAGCACATCACATTTCACAAGAATAGCCAAGAATGTTCCCCAAAACTGTTTCAATTGGATACATTGTATTTTTGTCTTAACTATTTTGAAAAAAAAATAAAAAAAATCAGTGTTCGAAATTAGCAGTAGTCCTATAGCCCCTGACTTACTGTTCATTTCTCCTCGGGCTACCAACTTTTCACAGTAACAAGCTCGACCAGGCTACTGTATTTTCAGAGGCAATATAAACAACTGTTTTGAACAAATGAATTGTGCTAGTGAAAAGTCTTTTGGGCTAGTGAATATTCCAATCTGGTAGTCCTACCAGCCTAGTGGATTCAAATCCTAATTTCTTACACTGTAATATTAATGTTAAGTCCAATTTTAAAGAAGCACGCCTAAAGATTAATGCTACATTTCATGAAAATTTTGAAAATGTATTTGAATTTGTAATATTGTGAAGTAACCAAAAGGAAGCAATTTACATATTATCAATGGCACTTACAAATTACGTAAATTGCGAAAAATTAAAGTGGTCAAAATATGCATTAATAGCCTTTACTGTGTTAGTAACAAAGTAGAAATATAAGAGTAAATACTGAAAAATCAGTCATTAATTGCACATAATATGTAAAATTTTACTTGAATCTTGAAACTGTTTACTTTTCCTTACATTTTAGTACATTTTTACAAGTTTGATTTTATTGAAATAGTTTGACTCATCTGGAGGCATGTAATTAGCTTTAAGTAAATACCTATAAGTAATACATAAAACAGAATGATGAGCTCTGAAAAAATGAAATTATTCACCAATTGGCAACCTACTTGTTTATAATCTTATCTACTCGACAATAAATCTGGTCATACATAAATAGAACAAAGTCAAGACAAGAGACTTGTAAATTGTAATCATCTTTGATATGAGGAAATGTCCTACATTTAACATTACATTCAAACGTCATGTTCTTAAGCAGTGATTTTTTTTTATTTTCAAAACAACCTGTGACTTTCTGAAGGGGAAAACACAGTATGATAAATTAGAAAAGGAAAAAAACTGAAATCAAATTCCAACAACTGAGAATTCAGTTGACCCACACATTTTATAAAATTTTCAATGTCAATTCAATTTGACACGCATTTGGTAATTATAAGAGACAGCTTTCCATCTTTCAATTAATTTCATCAATTTTAAGCTGATACAAGTAAGCTTCTATTAGTTACTGTTGGGGCATTTATTGGGGGAAAATATAGCATACATGTACCTATTGATATTACTACCGTATTTATTCATAAAGTTTTTTCCTTAGACTTACCTGTCCTTTAAAAAAAATCTTCAATTTGTTGTTTAAAAAGAAAACTTTTATAAAATTATTCTTATAGCCACTCATGAAGCTTGGTCATATCTGATACATTTTAAACTACATGTAATCACATTACATATACCTTAATTAAAATATCATTATTAAATGACAAATATTATATGTATGACACTGATATGAGGCTGATGATTTCAATGTATAAGCTGAATTCAAATCCCTCAATATTATTTATAAATACAAGTTTGATCACTAATAAACATTTGCATAATTATTTGTATGTCACATTTTTCAATCAATGATAAATAGAAGAAAAAATATTTCAGATGATCTATGCTAAAAATTACCCTCAATATAATATTCTTGCAGAAAAGTTGTTTTTTTTTTAGTTAAAATCATCAACATAGCAAAAATTCAAGTGTCATAATATTGTACTGCCCTCAGGGAGCCCATTCAAATTTTATGAATTTATTGTACCATAATTCATCAGTACAGTCCAACATTATGTGTCATCATTACTAGTAGTCATTCAAAATTAAATACCAGTATTTGGGTTTCTTTATATCATATAACTTATAATTTAGGAAAACAAGAGCTCATCCAGGATTTTTATTAAAACAGAGTAGCACAGTTAAATTAACAAAAGGTATAACACGTCATATTCCAGAGTGAGTTTTACTTGTTTTCCAGAATAGGTCAAGAGTCAATTTTGTCTGGATTTCACTATTTTTTTTTATATTACTAAACAATATGTAAGTTTGTATAAAAAACATCAAAGTCCGAGTGGTTTGACATTGGAAATTGTTAAAATTTTAGCCAATTATGTAACCAAATATTGTTAAGGGCAGAGTGGGCCAAGAAATGGCATTTGCAAACATGCATCCTAGGTAGTAAAAATCTACTGAAAAGTACAGACTTTATACTGGAAATATCTGAGTTTCAGTACTGTGTATCTATTACTGTGACACTAGCCCACAGGGTGGTAGCAAGGCTTGCATATTGTACCACATTTTAAATGGTTTACGAGAAAACAGGATACCGTGACAAGCCCCTTTTCCATGGAAATCAGATAAATGTCATTTTATCTGTTACTATTTTATTTTAGAGTATATGATTTTAAAGTTTTACAACTTCAATCATAACAGCAAAGCAGAGATCTATGTCTCTGAGCAAAGTGATGTCATCCTATCAAGCAGTTTCATTCTTTAAAATGCTAAAAATACTAACATAGCCAGTAAATTAATTTATTAGCATTATGTTCTCCAATCTCCTGGAATAGAACCCTACATGTATGTTAATATCATTGTATACATGTATATTATAAATTGTAATGTACTACAAATGTTATTATAATAGTATGCCAACCGACCAGATATACCACCACTTTAATTACAATTATGTAATCAAAGCTGTGTTAATATAATTGTGCTCTGGTAAATGCAAATTGTATGACTTAGTACCGTGTTCCAAACAATGGAAACTACCAACATCACCAGTGTGACCACCTGAAGGTCTAATCCAAGGACCAAAAATTATAGCTGGTTAATGTAATGGATCAAAACATTCACATATAAAATTTTAGTCTTATCTTAAAGGTTCAAGTCAGTGTTATGAATTCTAGTCCCGGGGCTCTGTTGCAACTATGTGAACTGACTATATAAAACAATGTCATTTCATCTGTTAAAATGTGTCACATTTGATTATGTTTATATTAATAAATTTGTATGCATTTTAATCTTCAAAGAAACCAAACGGTTTTATCATGAATTGTTCTATTCCAACAGGAAATAATAATACAGGTGAGATTTTTTCGTACCCCACCCACCTATCAAAACAGAAAAACACAACTTGTTTACTTACGTAATGAATATTGGATAAATAAGATTTTCTGCCGTAATTGTTGTATTTGTGGCCTGCCATGACCTCAGAACTGGATGATGATATCCACTATGAAGTAAAACATGGTCGCACATCTTCAAAACAGATGGTAATTCAATAGTTTAATGTCACGTTCTAAATATCACGACTTCAGCGGTGTTCCTAACCTGTCAAAAGAACGACCAATCAGCGTCGAGTAATTGACGTCATAGATAAATTACAAGGAAAGCCCTTAAAATTATGTATGGTGGGGCGTAAATACTATCATACATGTACAATTCTTATTTCGTGTTAAATTTCAATGTTTCTACTCTATTTACTTAGATATTTCATTTGCACCTTTACTGTGTTACAAGAAATTACTGCAAGACTTATGCCCCCATAGAGGTACCGCTCACTATAATCTTAAAAACTATTTATAAATCACAAAGTCTACATATTTCACATATTGATGAGTTATACAAGTTTGCTTCTTTAAAAAGAAGCCTGCGAGAGGTCTTTTTGCTGCTGTGGAAAATTTGTTTAATTCGAAAATATTTGGAGATATTTTTGCATAACAGACACAATGAATGTTTATAAATTAGAATTATTAAACAAAATATAATTTATTATATATATTGCAATGAAAGTTTGTTTTACATTTCATCTTTTTTAATGTTTTAAAAGATTATATGCCGGAGAAATGGACTTTTTTCTTGGCGCATTAGGGACACTTTTTCTACAAAAAAAAATAGTAAAATTACTTAATGTAAATTAAATGATATATATCATTTACATTTGTATTTTAAATTCAGTTCCCTTTGTAGAAAAATTATATATATATTAAAAGTTTTTTCAAAATAAAAGTTTCTTGTAAAGTTCAATTAGCAAATTTTCGGTCACTGTTTTGTTAAATGTAAGGAAGCATTTCTTCTACATTTTCCAAAACGAGTATAAAGTATGTTAATCAAACAAGTTTACATAAAAAATGTTGATATCATTTGATTGGAATAAACAGTTAATACTGTTATATACTGTTATATACTGTTATATACTGTTTATTGGAATAAACAGTATATAAAGCTGCATGCCTCCAACCACAATATTATAAGAAAGTCAAACTTGAGATAAAATTTGTGCCATTTGCCCCAAAAAATCTCCCTTTGCGTTATTTAGATATACCGGTTCAATACACGGTTCACTCGGTCATATAATATGTTTGTTTGTTTCATTGTACGCCTTTTCCCAACAGTATTTTAGTCATATAGGCGGGTAGTTTCCTAACCATCGTTCCTGGAGAGTAACACCAGTACTAGACAACCTTCCTCCGCGCTTAACTAACAAAAAAAAGCATCGCCCGGGGATCGAACCCACGCCAGAGAGTTTACTGGATTATAAGTCATCGACTCTAACCCCTCGACCACGAGTGCATGATGATATTATAGCTATAATGTCCACTGTAACTATTTATCAGAACATGAAATAGTAAAACGTTACTCAGAAAACAATACGGTAATCGATTTATACAGTTACGAAATGAAGCATCCATGCACGTAGTGTTAAGTAACGTAAATGATATTTTCCGATTTTTCTATGTACCGATTTGTTCACTTCGATGTTAATTTTTCGTTTAAGTTAAGCCGTGTTTTGAAACGGGGCATGCGCAAAACAATTTTTGTAGACTGCTCCTAATGATTTTACGCTTAAAATGAGATTCATTCACTGCAACCAGATACGCAAAAATGGATGCCGCCAGCAATCAGTCTGAACACTATGGAGAGGTCTGATGACCTCTCCAATTATGTAGTAGATGACCCCAATTGATTTTGGGGTCTCTAGGTCAAAGGTCAAGGTCACAGGGACTTTAAATGTTAAAATGGTTTCAGGTCATTGTCTTGAAAACTATTTATCACAAAATCTTCATATTTCGCATTGATTCTACTTATTGGTCCTGACTAACTAGAAGATAATCCCCATTGAAATTGGGGTCACTAGGTCAAAGGTTAAGATCACTGGGTCCTTAAATATCAGAATGGTTTCCACTACTATTTATCACAAAGTATTCATATTTTATATAGATCTACTGATTTGTCATAACTAGCATGCAGATGACCACAATTGATTATGGGGCACTAGGTTAAAGGTCAATGTCACAGAGACCTTAATGTAAGAATGGTTTCCTCTCATTATCTCGAATTTTTTATATCACATAGTCTTCATTTCTCACATGCTGATTCGGGTTATAACAAGATGACCACTATTGATTTTGTGCTCACCGGTCAGAATAGTTTCGTTGCCCCTCAATATTTTGGAATTATTCATCACAAAGTCTTCATATTTCACATACTGTTTGTAATAATTAGTTGATGATCACAATTGATTTTGGGGTCACTAGGTCAAAGGTCATGATCACAAGGGGGCTTAAATGGCAGAATGTTTTGTTTCTGCTCATTATCTTGAAAACTATTTATTATAAAGTCTTCATATTTCACATATTGATTAGTCATTATGCAGTAGACACAAGTTCAAAGGTCAAGGTCACAGAGGCCTTTAATGTCATATTTGTTTCCACTCATTACCTTGAAAACTATTTAATACTAAGTCTTTACAATTTACATATTGATTTGTTATAACTAGTAGATGTTTCCTATTGCGATGATTATGGTTTCTTCAGTTTAAAGGTCAAGGTCACAGCTAGGGACCTTAAATGTCAGAGTGTTTCCACTCATTATCTTCAAATTTAAACTATTTGTTAAAAAGTCTTTGTTTTTCATATTTGAAATCATCACTTTTAGATGATTTTGAGGTCACTGGGTCAAAGGTCAAGGTCACAATTACCTTGAATGTAAATAATGGTTTCCACTTATTCTCTTGACACCAATTTAGTTACATGTACTACATGTAAGTCTTCGTATTTCACATAATTATTTGCCACAGTTCAAGTAGATGACCTTTTTTGATTTTGGGGTCACTTGGTCACAGGGGCTTTAGTAATTTACATGTCGAATGGTTTCTGCTCATTATCTTAAAAACTATCTATCACAAAATCTTCATATTTCACATGTATTGAATGGTCATAACCAGAAGATGACCTTTATTGATTTCAGAGTCACTTGGTGAAAGGTCAAGACTACAGTAACCTCAAATATAAAAGTACAGTTGAGTTCACACTAAAGGTTACACAAAGTGCACTAGGAGTGCACTAGATGTGCACTACTAGTGCACTACAAAGTGCACTAGTAGTGCACTTCATAAGTGCACTTTGTAGTGCACCAGACCTATAATATGTATTAAGCAGTTACCTTTTATTTCACTGAATAGCAATTTGACTTTTACAAAAAGATAGAAAATATAGATATCTGTTTAATAGTTTTTCAATAAAAATTTGAAATTGTGATTATTGGATTTTGTAAAATATGGCGTAAAATATTAGAACAATAAATTTCAAAGTCATTAATTTTACTGATTTTGTACTTTAAAATTTAATTGTTAGAATAAGTAATTTAAATATAAATAATTATAACTTTAATGTTGATAAGTGCATAAACAAACTTAATTGATATTTAATATGATTCTATTTTATTATAATCTGGTAATGAAATATGAAACATTGAAATGCTAATCAAACAAAATTAAGTCAGTTCTTTTTTGGGGGGAGGGGGAATTATACCGTAGTATTAGTTATTTTTCATCTTAACTTATGGTTGTTTTAGTTATAGGTAATGATTTAAAGCATTAATAGCCTTTAATACATTAAAGAATTAATATGTTTATAATTGGCCTAAATTTTGTCAATTTTATTTCATTTATAATCTCTCTTACCTTCTCAAACTGAGATTTACCTTGAAGATTAATATAAATGATATATATTATTCTGAAAATAAATTTTTATATATAATGGTGGTATGTTTTGATATGTGTGGATTAAGTATTGATATGTACCTGTGGGATACTAGTATACTTAAACTGACATGGATATTAACAAAAAGATTAGAAAATCTGTCAATTCCATTTTTTGAGACGACACCAATCTTTTTTCCTTTTTTTATGCATTGTAACATTATTATGAAATATGATTAATTTTATGAGTTTATTATAAATTGCAAAAATATTCATTTTTCTTTTTGTACTATTTGTAATGAAATTTATTTGCACCAACATATCCAGAGAATACAGAATTTACATCGCCTAATCTGGCTTATGTTATTTACCCTGAGGGACTCTCTTATCAGCAGGGTACTATATCAAAACACCTATACACAGCATGACTTTTGACACTTTAATCTCCTGTATCTGTTTTCTGCTCATATTATGATATTAAATTTAAAAAACAAAAAAACAAAAAAAAAACAAAAAAAAAAACAGATCTGCATTAAAGTGAAAAGGAAGTTGCAAAAGTTTTAAAATCATGTATTTAAATAATATTTTCTTTAAAACATATTATCTTCTAAATGCGTAAAAACTGACAAGGCAAATTTGTCAAATCTATAATAGAAAAAAATAACATTTCCCAGTTCAAAAACTAAAAGATGCTGCAAATTTTAATGCAGAATTGCAAGAAATGTGAAAAAATATTGATACAAAGTCTTTGTAGAATAGTTAACACTGATACTGGTTTTAAACCAGTAGTTTTTTATAATAAGATTAGAAAATTCCACTTCAAAGACAATAAATGACAATAATATCTAACGTGCGTTTATGACATTAAGATTATTTTTTACATTTGATTATACAAAAAGTATAGTCATTTATCGATGACTTACATGTATTTTGGGGAAAAAAGGAAATTTTCAATAAATATTGCATACATTTGCATTTTTGTTATTTACCCTGAGGCCCTCTTATCAGCAGGAGACCAGTGTAATGAAAACAGTCGCTCTCAAAAAAATACCAATACACAGCATGACTCGAGACTTTCCTCTTGTATAAAAACATTCCCTTTATACATTACATTTTTAATGTAGAAATCTTGAATAAAGTTATCAATTTTATTTATTTTATGGAAAAATTTTAATTATGTATATCTTTAAAAAGTATGCAAGCATTTTATGGTTGAAAAACATAATAATACAGTGTATAAAATGTTTTAAAAATCAATGAATTAATATTCTCTTTCAATCTTGAACATGAGGAATTGCCTCTTAAGTTATATATTATCACGGATTTATATTAATAGTATATATAGTAATATAAATCCGTGATATTATTATGC